CTTGTCATGGCCACTGGGGCTGCGTGCCCAGCCACCACTGTCACAGCCACCCTCGCAGACCCTGCTGGGCCTGGCCAGCACTTCCCTTCTCTGGGCCTCATCTCCCTCCACCTGCTCATCCTCTTCCAGGGCCAGTTGTTCATGCTGCAGTTCACTGAAGCCCAGAGGAAGCTCTGGTCACTCAGAACGGCCTCCCTGTGCCCAGCAAGAGGAAGAGCCAGCCCGAGGAAAGCCACGCCCCTGTGGGATCTCTTGACCACTTAACACTGCGAGATCAGGTGGCTCTGGGCTTGGAGGAATTCCTAGGTGCCCTGGCCCCTAATGATGGCCCTGCCTGCTCCCCCCACACCCCAGGTTTCTTCCTCGTGCACTCTGACCACTGGGCAGATTTTCTTCTTCCTCCAGGAAGACTTCCGTGACTGCTGGACAGGATCAGATGGCCCTCCCCTGGCTTCCTGGCCACACAGTGGCCCTCCCCTGGCTTCCTGGCCCCCTACAGATGTCAGTGACCCTGAGCAGTTTTTTATGGGAATGCCATATGAGGGCTGCAGCACTGGACTCTGACACAGGGCAGGGTTCTGATGGCAGAACCCGGGTACATGGTGTGACTCTGTGGATAGCCATTTGGGGCTGGGGCCGAGTATACATGGGCAGCTGTGGCATGACACATATGCAGGTGGGTGTGGAAGGTAGGAGGCCTTGGTCATGCCATGCTCCACTCTCCTGAGGTGTCAGTGGCCCTGTGTCACGTCCCAGCACTCGGCCAGAGTTCATGACCCACACTCCTCAGCCCACTCCAGACTGCCTTTCAGCTCCCAAAGTCTCTGGAGCTGCCTTTGGTGTGTTCACACCTCACAGCATTGCCATGTGTGTCCTGAGGCCCAGAGGGGCTGTGTAACATGAAGAAGGTGACGCAGCTGGCAGGTGGCAGAACAGGGCTTGGGCACCTGTGGCCTGTGCAGTGCTTCAGCTCTGCCGCTGTCCTTGTCATCAGCGACAGCCCCTTCTTCCCTTTGTCCCGGATTTTCCACCCTCCTCACCACCCCCTGGAGTCCCCAGGCCTTTGTGGCAGCCCATCTGTTGCCATGGCACCAGATTATGATGTCGCAGGTCCAGGATGTCACTGGAGCACAGGCACGCACAGAGTGGGCATTGTCCAAGGGGCAGATTGGCACAGAGGAACATAAATCCTTGAGCCCAGTTGGGAATAGCCCTGAGAAGCGGAGCCAAGGCCAGGAGGACGGGGCCTGCCCTGGCTTGTCCTGCAGTCTTGGGGGCAGCTGCTAGGCTCGGTACCCTGGGTGGGCTGACACGGGGATGTTTCCTAAGACATCTGCTTCATTCTTGTCATTACAACCATGCCCAAGGGGAAATCCTCATCCTCTTCCCCTCCCGCTTGCCCAGAAAGGGGAGGGGCTTGCCCAGGGGCACCCAGGGAAGAGGTGGTCATGCAGCATTCCTTCTTGGCTCTGATTCTAAATCTTTCTGTGTGGTGATGCTTGCGGGTGGTGCTGCTTCCAATAAGGTCCTCCTCAGAGTGGTCTAGTCCTCAATCAAAAGTGACTGTGCGGGGGTGGGTGTTGGGCTTTAGCACTTGTGCTGCTAGGGATCCCTGCATCTTGCATCCGAGTGTCTGGGTTCCCCTCTCAGCTCTGCTTCCGAGTAAGCTTCTGAGCGATGGGCACCCCACAGCAGGTGATGCTCCCCATGGGTTCCTGGCTTCTGCCAGGCCCTGCCCTATTTGCCACAGGCACATGGGAAGGGAACCAGTGGAAGCGAGGTTTCTCTGTCCCTTTCTTCATTTCAAATATTTTCAAGTGGCCATGCTGTCTCCGTTTTCCCAGGGCCAAGCATTAGCAGTGCACAAGGTGTCATCACCCAGGTTTGTTCTGCTGTGCACCTCTAGGTGCTGCCACCTGCAGGCAGCTCTGTGCTGTGTAGGTGGCCTGCCCCATAGTTACAGGCTTCTTGGGTCCCCGGGGACCTTGTTGTTAGCCTGCAGCACTGAGGAGCCCACTGGGAGGAGCCTAGACACGGGCACTTGCTACGACCTCCCACCCCTCTCCCCATGAGCCCAGGATCCTCTTTTGTACCATGCATGACTGGCACTGCCAGTGTGGCCATAAGGAGTCCCTGGGCCAGAACCGGACTGGGAAATGGCCCAGGCAGCTACAGGACCCACCAGCCCTGCAGCTGGCCACAGAACTGCCTTTCAGGCGATGGCACTTGTGACTGCTGTCCCTCCTGGCCCGATGCCTGGCAAGCCATGGCACCCACAGGGCACCCACCACACAGCCTCAACTTCCAGGATGTCCAGAGAGAATCTGGCCACCCAGTGGCAGAGCCCCTTCCTGGACAGCTCCTTTAAGCCCAACTTGCTTTTGTGGGCACTGCCTATTATGCACCCTTGTCAGACCCTCCCTGGCTTCCAGCTCCTGGGCCCTGGGTGGGCCGGGTCCTCTCTCTGTGTGCTCAGGGCCTAGACCAGGTAAGATGCTCATGGATGCTGAGCGGAGGCTCTCATGGGGCTTTGCCGCGGACCTTGGGGTTTCGCGTCCATGTTCGTTTGTGTGGGGCGGGCAGGCTTCGTGGCCTTGCTCCCACCCAGCTAGGAGACCCTCTCAAGTGTCCACCTAGCGTTGGGATTGACACAAGGAGGCATGTGGTAAGCGTCAGAAGGTGACAGGAGAAAAAAGCTGGGGTTTATGCTTCAGGATTTAGATGTTTAAAAGATTGTTTGACAGAGGGAGAGAGAGCAAGATCTTCCATCCTCTGGTACCTGTCCCGAATGGCTGCCACTGCCGGGGCTGGATCTGGGAGCCAGGAACTCTATCTGGGTCTCCCACAAGAGTGTAGGGACCTAAGGACTTGGGCCATCCTCTGCTATTCTCCCAGGGGCATTAGCAGGGAGCTGGAATGGAAGTGGAGCAGCCAGGACTGGAACCAGCACCCATATAGGATGCTGATGCGGCAAGCTCTGGCTGACCCAGTGTGCCACCGTGCCAGCCAAACCTTCCACTGCTCAGCCTTGGGTGTCCCCCACGTACTGGATTCTCAGAGGATCACAGGCTGCCCCTCAGCAGGAGCCACTACTAGTGTCTGACACTGCAGTGTCCTCCTAGATTCTGGGACTAGCCCCCCCCATCCCCTCCCCCCATGTGACAGCTGAATCTGATTCCTTGGTCTTCTTGTGGCTTTACAAGTGCAGAGGAAGCAAGGAGAAAGCTCAGATCCCACTACAGAATGTCACAGGACAAAGAGGCAGAGACAGGAGGGACTTTGGGGGACCCAGGCTCTCCCACACCCATGCCAGGCTACCAGGGCAGGGGGAGTGGTCAGATAGTCCCAGGGGCAGCCCGCCTGGGGGCCCATGGAGGATTCGGTAAATGGAAGGATTCCCGACTCAGATGGAATGGGAGCAGAGGCCGGGCAGCTGGGTCTCCATGTGGTTCAATGTGTGTCCTCAATCAGCTGACCCAACCCTTGTGCCAGAGGAACAGAGAGGAAAGCAAGCTGAGGGCCCAGCTCAAGGATTCAATTGGCTTACCCTCCCCTTGCAAAGTGCCAGCATCCCATATGGGTACCAGTTCATGTCCCTGCAGTCCCACTTCCTATCCAATTCCCTGTTTATGGCTTGGGAAAGCACCAGAGAATGGCCCAAAGTCTTGGGACCCTACACCCACATGGAGAACTCAGAAGAAGCTCCTGGCTTCTGGCTTTAGATCGGAGTGAGCCAGTGGATGGGAGATCTTTCTCGCTGTCTCTCCTTCTCTCTGTAAAATCTGACTTTCCAAATAAAAATAAATAGTAAATCTTTAAAAAGAAAGAAGAAACCCACCCCTGCTCACTCACCTGTTGTCCGGGGCTGCTCCCACCCCATCATGGCAGGCCTGTCTGGCACATCACAGAGCTTGTTTGTTTGCTGACCAGGACCCTAAGGGGAACTTCGGGATGAGAGATGAGTGGGGAGGCTGTCACAGCAGTTCTTTTAGCCCAGGCAGAGAAGGCACGGTTGGGCACAGTGTGGGCAAGGGGTGGGTGCAGGTAGAGCAGGGCACAGCGGGGGCAGGGGTGGGAAGGGAGGGGAGCACAGTGGGGCAAGGGTGGGGAAAACTCCTGGAGATAGACAGGATCCTGGGGGCTGCTGAGCCACAACAACCCCCAGAGCATTCAGAGGGAGAGTGTTGACATCTGGGCTTTCTTTCCTTCTCCTTATTACACAGATAAGAAAAGGGGGCCTCTGTGATTAAGGTCACAGAGAGAAGGAGGCAGGGCCAGGGCAGAAGCCCCTGGTGCTGGGCCACAGTCTCCCCGCCGTGTGTGAATGCCAGTCCCTGCTCAGGTGCTCCATTCTGAGCACAGAACACATCCTTACACCTGCCACACTGCAGTTGGCTAACTTTTAGGATTCTAGATGGAAAGAACCTGGGTGCTTGCTGAAGGGGCCTTGGCTTCCTGTGTGATTGATGAAGGCGGGACAGGCAGATAAAGGGACTGAAAACTGGCTGAAGGGGCCAAGACAGCCGTCATGGGAAATCAGGGAAGGCTTCTTGGAGGTAGTGACAGATTGTCACCCTTCCTGGACTTGAACTCCTGGTCTCCGAGTGCAGGCCCAGGGAGGTCGCCTGTCTCCACATGGTGCTCATAAATGGAGAAAGCCATAGGAGATCCTGCAGTCCAGCTTTTAGACTAAGCAAAGCCCAGCAGCCATCTGTTTCTGCTTTTATTAAGAGAAACAGAGAGCGCTCTGCAACAGGCAATGCTAGGCTGGGCTGAAGCTGGAAGTGAGGAACTCAACCCAGGTCTCCCGAGTGGCCAGCAGGGCCTGGGAGGCAGCTGGGGCAAGGAATCAAAGGCAGGCACTTATGCAGGCCGTGGGCACCTTAACCCAGCTATATACCACCCCAGAGCAGGCTTCAGGCAACTTAACCCAGCTCTAGGCCACCCTGCAAATGCCCCCGAGTCCCCAGAGCCTTCATGTGTTTCTTCTCACCCCGCAGCCAAGAAGACCTGTGCGGACAGCGACTTCACCTGTGATAACGGCCACTGCATCCCCGAGCGCTGGAAGTGCGATGGCTTAGAAGAGTGTCCCGACGGCTCGGATGAATCCAAGGCCACTTGCAGTGAGTCCTCGCTGTTGGTTGGGGGAGGGTGGGCTGTGGTTTCCCTGTGTGGGAGATGGGCAGCTGGAGCAAGGTGCACCCTTGGTGGCTCCTGGGTGCCGATCTCTAGGTGCCCGGTAGCAGCAGCTCTCTGGCAGGTAGGAGCCTGCTCCTATGGTATCAGGATCTAGAAACAGTGCCCCCACCACCCTCATGGCCATGGCAGCCTCTCAGGGCCTCCCTGGACTAAAGCCCCACAGGGCTGGTGGCAGCCGCTCTCACCCAGCATTCACTGTGTCCCAGGTCCTGTGCTGGGCTAGGCCTGTGCTTACCTTCCTGGCATCCTGGGAGCCACGCGAGCTTCGCTCAAGAAGGCAACAGAGAGACTGAACTATTTGCCCAAGGCCACCCAGCCAGGACCTAACAGACCTCTGGCTGGGCTGAACCCAGCAGTCCCTGCCTGGTGGGATGGAGGCCACAGGGCTGAGGGGAAGTGGCCAGCTATGCCCACCCAGGGCAGCCTCCCACTCTCTCCGGGCTGTGTATCTCCATGTTTCTTTGTTTTTCCAGGTCCTAATCCTCAACGCAAACTTCTACCCCCACCAGCCAGGTCATTCCATGACATTTGTTAAATTAAAAAGGAGATGAGCAGAGGGTGGGAGGGGACCTAGTCCTACAAACTCGGGAGCTTCAGACAAAGGCTTGGGGAGGGAAGGGGCGGGGCACATGGAGGATGTGGGGCTGCTAGCCCAGCAGCCCCTCTTGAAGGGGTCACAGTCACCCCAGAGACAGAGGCAGGGACAATGGAGCCCCGAGTCCCATCTAGGGCTGCGGTTGGTGATAACTGGGTTTCCATGTCTCCTAGCAACAGTGCTGCCAGTCTCCAGAGCTAGCTGGAATGAGAGAAAGGAAATGAGAAAGAGGGTGGGGGGAGGGGATGCGTACCCCTGCCCACCACGGGCCCCGCCAGTTCTTGCTCAGCAGGTCCTGTCTTCCCCAGTCAAACTGCAAGACCCACTTTCCCTCACCCCACCAAGTAACCGGGACCCCAAGCGGCTCCAAGCAAGTCCTGGGCGCATGAGCAAAGGCCAGCACTTTGTCCTCAGCTGGGGAATGAACAAAGCCTTGCCACGCCCACTTGCCGCTTCCATTTCCATCCTCTCGAGCCACCTTGGGCGAGAAGGGTTCAGCCACTGGCCCCAGGCTGCTGGAAGAGTCCTGTATAGTCTGGAGTGTGTATTTGAGAAGGGAACTATGGCCCTGGGTGGGTCAGGGAGGCGCTTTTTCTACTATCCCAATCACCACTGTGCCAGACAGAACCCATCTCAGCAGCTGCCTGGGACCCACCCCCCCCCTCCCCCCGGACAGAGAGGGAGGGGAAGAAAAGCCTCTCGTGGGCTATTGGTAGGGGACTCTGCTTCACACACCTTTACGCCAGTGGCCCCTTTGTGGGCTTCTGGCTGCTCCAGAGCCCCTCTTTCCTGCTGCCCTGGGTGCCTCCTCCTCTGCCTGGCCCTTCTCTGCCCATGGTCTGTCCTGCTTCCCTTCTTTCTCCACCACACCCTGACCCAGGCCATGCCCCTCTGTCACCTTTGTCCCTCCTGCCCAGCCCAGCCCTTCTTCCATCCCTGCAGCCCCTGAGGCGTGCAAGCTCCCCATCTCCCAGGCTCCCCTTGAGTCTGATGGTCAGGACCCAGAGGCCCAGAGGAGCTGTTGAATTTATTTCAGAGACACACAGTTTGTTTTCTGCAGGTCCTCCCTTGACAGGGCAGCCCTGTTTGTCTTCCCTCCCTTCCCTGAGCCCAGAATTCCTAAGACCTCAACACTTCCAAGATTCCTGAAGTCTTGGCGTACTGGAGCCCCTTTCTCCCTTGCCTGGGCCTGGCTGGGACACAAGGCCCAGCACGCCCTCTGCCTGGGCAACTACGTCATGGATCAGCGGCAGCAAGGCCTGTGGCGGGGAGGACTGCATGGAACAGGCCAGCCAGCGTGAGAGCTGGAGGGTCAGGTGGAATGTGGGGCAAGAGGACGTGGTAGCTCTGCTCATGGCTTCCCAACTGAATGAGAAGGCAGCAGCCAACCCGCTGTCCATTTAATTGGTGTTGCTATAGCAACCTCCAAGGCCTGCCAGGTTTCTGGGGCGGTGCCAGCTCCCAGGACGGTCCCCCACTGCCTGCCCCAACAGAGAGATTATATTGATGGGAAAGTGGAGTGAGTTTAGTATCTGGTATATGCAGGCTCAGCTGCTTTAACCTGGGAGATACTGAACAAGTTGCCCTGTCGTCCAGGGCCTCTGTTGGGTCATCTGTAAAATGGGTTATTGGCTCCTGCCTTGTCCTTATGAGGATGAAACAACAAAAGGCCAGAATCAGTGCTGGTATAAATGGCTGTGTGATGCCATTTGCGCTCCCCACAGGTGCCCTTTTCATCAGCACAGGAAGGTTCCGGGACTTATGGGATTGGCATGGTGTGAGGAGGGGTTGTATTGAGAAGGAAAAGGTACAGGAGCAGGTCGTGTTTCTTTTGGTCTTCCTGACCCTCTATGGTGATGTCTGCCCCTGATGGGCCGGAGCTTTCTCCCAGGAATCAACCTTGGAAAAGCCAAGAACATTTGTTCAATGAAAATTAGCATTTCAGCTCCAATTATAGCTCGCTTGATTGGGGACAACCTCTGACCCACCTCCAGGGCATCCGTGGGGAGAGATGTGGGCTGGGGCGGGGAGCTTCAAGGTGAATGTGTTACACTTCTGGCTGCGTCCCGACTGAGTTTTTCTTCCTGCATCTTAGAACTTCCCACCCCACATTCCCTACCCCACCCTCTGTCGCAGGGGGTACCTCATGGAGTCCCCAAGCTCACCTGCAGGTGAGAGAGCAGGATGCAGGGGCCTGAGATAGCCCAGCAAGTCAGGGACTGGCCCTGCCACAAACCCCCCGCTTGACTCCCCTGCTTTGGAGCCCCCTCTGCCACTCCGTGCTGCATTTCCCCAGGCAGGAGCTGAGACGGGAAGCACTGGTAGTCCCCAACAGCTCTCCTCCCTGTTCAGGGCCGCCCGCCCCTCCAGCCCACGTGAGCTCAGTCACTGAGCTGCTGCCGTGGCCTTTCATTCTTTTCTTTTTGTTCATCTGTGAACTTATGAATTAGAGAAAGTTCCAGTGGATTTGGATTTCTGGGGCAAGCTTCTCTGGGGATTGATAAATTGAAAAGCCAGGCTGGAGTTTCAAGCCCCGCCTGCCCTGTAGAATGTGGGGTGCCCTGTCAGCAGGCTGAGGGCCTTCCCCAGGGGTGTCACAGAGCAGGAGCTGTTCCAGGCTGGAGGCTGCATCCTGGTGGACCCTAAGGACTCATGGTGTACGTCATCAGGGCGAAACCAGGCCTGTCCTCCAGCCATGCGCATCTGCCGTTCCATGACTGAATCACAGCACCTGCTTGCTAAGCTCCATGTTTATTCTTGGCTCCGAATATAGGGATTTCCGTGTCATTTCTTTTTTTTTTTTAAGATTTATTTATTTATATTGGTAAGGCAGATTTACAGAGAGGAGAGATAGAAAGAAAAATCTTCCATCTGTTGGTTTACTCCCCAAGTGGCCGCAAAGGCCAGACCTGAGCTGATCTGAAGTCAGGAACCAGGAGCCTCTTCCAGATCTCCCATGCAGGTGCAGGGTCCCAAGGCTTTGGGCTGTCCTTGACTGCTTTCCCAGGCCACAAGCAGGGAGCTGGAAGAGACGGAGCATCCTGGACATGAACTAGCATCCATATGGGATCCCAGCACATGCAAAGTGTGGTTTTTAGCCACTAGGCTACTACACGAAGCCCATGTCATTTCTTTTAGGCTGTCCACCACCCTAGGAGCTCATGCTGCCCCATTTTCATGTGTACAGGGGTCAAGTGACTGCCTAAGGACCATGGGGTCTGTAATGGAAGTTGGACTCAGGTCTACCTGACTCTCAAACCCATGTTCTTCCCCCTAACATCCTGTTGTCCTGGGAGCCTTGGGCACCAATTGTCCTGGAAGCAGGCATCAGATGCTCACATTTTTCTTTCAGTATTTACTTGAAAGTTGGAGTTGGAGGAGGGGATGAGAAACTCTTCCATCCTCTGGTTCACTCCCCAGATGGCCACATCAGCTAGGGTTGAGCCAGGCCAACGCCAGGAGCCAGGAGCTTCCTTTCTAAGCACTTGGGCCATCCTCTGCTGCTTTCCCAGGTCATTAGCAGGGAGCTTGGTCAGAAATGGAGCAGCCGGGGCTTGAACCAGTATCCATAGGGGATGCCGTATCATAGGAGGCAGCCTCATGCACTACACCACAGCACCAGCCTTCAGGTGCCCATGTTTCATTACCTGCCTGAGCCAAGATTCTAAGAGCTTCCTTTCTCCGATGGGAACTATTTCAGGCCAGAGGTGCTGGGGGACAGCAACAGGTTGCACTTTTCTCCTGGGCAGTGGGCAAGTACAGTAAGTTAAGCATGGCCTTTGGGCCTGGGGTAGGAGTCCAGCTCGGCCACCTGCCACAGGACTCGGAGCAAGCAGCTGATTCTCATTGTGCTTTACCCTTGTCACCCCTAAGTAGGAGAGTCACAGGAGTCCCCAGCTCGCAGGGAGACACTGCACAGGCCATCTTCCCAGAGTTTACAGGGCATAGCCTGGGAGCCAGGTTTGGATCCCAGTTGTGGGGCAGAGACGTATCCACAAGTCCAGGAAACATTCAGCATTCAAGGAGGAAGGCCCCTCTCCCTTGCAGGACCCTTGTCTCCCACCCCTGGCCCCACATGGTCTCAGAGACTTCTCTCATCTTGGCATTCCAAAGGCCATGCCTTTTTTGGGGGGTAGGGGGTGGCTGGCATCAGACAGTGCTGCCTGCTTGAGAGCCTGTAATTAGAGCCATCTATTTAAGGACATGGCAAATGTCTTATTAATTATAAAGAAAGGAAGCAGACGGATTGTTTAATCATTGTCCTTGCTGAAAGGTTATGCAATTAGCTATATAAATATTCATTGAAAGTTCAAGCGGCTGCCTGCTGTATTGGGGTCTGCAGCTGGGGGTAAAGGGGATCCTGGAGTGTGTGCATATGGCCCAGAGTCAGGCTTTATAAAGGGACTCAAACTCTGTAACTTTCCTGCTGTGCATCTTTAGTCTAGTACTTGGTCTCTCTGAGCCCCCCCAATTCCTCATCTGTAAAATGCAGGGCTTACCTACAGATTTGCTACAGAACACCTCTGCAGGATGATTGGCACCCCAGGACTTGTGCTCACAGCCTGTAGGGTTTTGCTTACCCGTCAGAGTCAGGTCCAAGTGGATCTCAGCCTGCTGTAGCTGCTACAGGGAAATACCCTGGACTGGGCGCTTTGGAAACTCAGGGTGGTAGGCTTCAAAGCCAGGAAGTCGACTCCTAGAGTGTTAATCCAAGGGCCTCAAACTGGCAGATCAGAATCACTTAGGCTGTGGGAGGGTGGTTATTCAATTGCTGATGTTGGGACCCCCTTGAGGCCTGAGTTCAGCCTGTGTGAGCCGGTGGGGGGATCAGTGGGCTCTCAGGGGACCCCAGGCAACCTCAGCTCCCTAGTGTTCCCTGGGACCCACACGGGCTGGGACTAGAGGTGGCTGGGGTGCTGTCACCACTGCTGCCCTGCTGTGTTGTCGTTTCCTGACCCTGCTGGACAGTCCCTTTGCAAAGGAACATTGCTGGAAGAGGCCCCTTGTGGGTACTGCATTCTCGGTGGACTGCCTTGTCCTGCACAGGATGGCTGAGGTCCGCACTTGGTGCCTCTGGCACCAGCATGTGTGAGCCCCACAGAACACGGTGGGGGCTGAGGACTGGGTCTGAAGGGGGTGATCAGAGGACAGCACGAGCAGCCCGCTTCTGCTAGGAGCTCAGAGTGCATAGTCTGGCGTCAGAAGCCGTTGATGGGAAGTACAAACCTAGGTCTTCACCAGGTGTGCTTGGGCCATCCTCCCCACCACTGCTTTCCCAGGTACATTAGCAAGAAGCCAGATTGGAAACCAAGTGGCTGGGACTTGCACTAGTACTCGATTACAGGGTGCCGGAGCCACAGGTGGTCACTTAATTCCCTGTGCCACAACACTGGCCCCTTGCACATCCTAAATCCAATCCCCCAACCTTTCCTGAACTCTCATAGTCCTCTGGTCCCTGGCACGCCAATCCTTCTTTGCTCTGCCGACCTCTGCCCCTCCAGGAACACAGAGCCACCACCCTGTAACTCTTCTTTGCCGTTGCCTGTCTATGTGCCCTTGAGCGCTGTGCTCCAACTGGTCTTGTTTTCCCTTCTGGATCAGCGATTCCGTGATCAGGACCTCTGGATTTAAAGGATTTACCAAGGAGTAGAGGGCTCCAAAGTAGCTCCCCTGCCAGGTGCCTCCCCCTCCCCCACCATGAGTGCTGAGCCAAGAGAGCAGCCACTGTGTGGCCAGGCCCAGCGGGACTGCACAGCTATAATTACTGCAGCTGCAACAGAGGCTCACTCAATCAGGGGCCTCGAGCCCCAGGCTGGATTTGCACACTGGAAGAAAGAATTAGACCCCTTCGTCATCAGGGCTACGGGAGGAGGTGGAGGGGGTTAGGTTTTTGTCTCAAGCTGCGCCTGCGCCTGGCGAGGCAGGTGCATGCCAGACCTCCGCGGTCGGCTCCCTGCTGCCTTTGGGCAGTGCAGGAGACCCCAGCTCAGTGGCCTCCAGGATTGGCTGGCAGGAGGCTGGACATTTCTGTTTGATCTTTGTAATAACTCCACGGGTAAGGATTACATTGGGGCCTCCAGAACACACCCTGAGGCCATGGGCTCTAAACCCTGGCTGCTGGTGTTTGAGTCCTGACTCGGTCATTCACTGGCTATGTGATTGTAGCCAGCAATCCTTAACTATGCTGGGAGAATGGGCATGCTGCTATTACGTGTCTACAGGCTTTTTTTTTTTAAGATTGATAGATTTATTTGGAAGGTAGTCACATAGTGAGAACTTCACCCACTGATGTACTCCCCGGATGGCCTCTATGGAACCTAAACCTTTTTCTTATTTTAGAGATGAATTTTATTTATCTGAAAAGCAGATTGACACAGAAATAAAGAGATCTTCTGTCCACTGCTTTACTCCCCAAGGTGGCTGCAGTGGCTAGGGCTGGGCCACACTGAAGCCAGGAGCCAGGCGCTCCAGCCAGGTCTCCCCTGTGAGTGGCAGGAGCCCAAGCATTCAGGCCATCCTCTGCTGCCTTCTCAGATACTTTAGCAGGAAGCTGGGTAGGAGGCCAAGCAGTCAGAGCTTGAACCCATGGTCTTATATGGGATGCTGGTGTCACAGGCAGCAGCTTAACGCACTGCATCACGCTGGCCCCAGTCTGTAGGATTTCAAGGAGTAAGGAAGGGGGGCTGTAAAGCATCCAGAAGGACGCCCAGCACAGCACTAACTAATCCCTGTGTTTGTTCACATGGGCCAGTGAAGCATTGCATGCACCAACTGTAATGACAGGGGCCAATTCCAGATCTAGGCCCTAGCCCCGGCCACTGCAACCATCTGGGGAGTGAACCAGTGGATAGAAGTCTCTCTTTGTCTCTATTTCAATCAGCCCCTCAGATAAAGAAAATCAGTCTTTGAAATAAGAACAAAGCTTAAGATGCCTAGAGTCCTAGGGTAGCTGAGGGTTTCATCTCGGCTGTACAAAACTGAGCCAGGTGGAAGAGCCCTACCTGACCTGTGGGGCTTGGCCAGGTGCCTGAAGCTGGTGGGCAGCAGATGGGGCTCTCCATGCTCCATGTCCTTCGGCTGAACCCTGCGTGGACGTCTGTGTGCACAGCCCAGCAGGAATGCCCCGCAGAGAAGCTGAGCTGTGGGCCTACCAGCCACAAGTGCGTGCCTGCGTCCTGGCGCTGTGATGGCGAGAAGGACTGTGAGAGCGGAGCAGACGAGGCTGGCTGCGCCCCCTGTGAGTCTGGGGTCAGATCCCAGGGTCTGCTAGGGGCGGGGGGCAGGGTGATTGGGCAGGTGGCTGGGGCAGCAAGGGTGCCAATCAGGACTTGGAGTGGCTGGGCGCTTGGGCGACATCTCTGTCATCCTCACGACCACCTCATGAGAAGCCATCACCATCCCTAGTGTACGGGTGGGGAAACTGAGGCTCAGACATGAGAGGAACAGTGTGCGAGGCTGAGCACTGGGACTGCTGCTCAGTGCTTCTCACCATGCCTGACATCTGCTCATCCATTCCACAAGTCTGCTGCTGGCCAGGTGGGGGGAGGGGGGGGTCCGGGGCTGTATGTGTGTGCACACACATGCGCTGAGGCAGGGGGCTGGATGGGGGCAGAGATTCCGGAGGTGTGAGGGCAACCAACGGAGGCTCAGGTCTCGGGTCTGAGCACCTGGCACGGGGCGGGAAGCCATTGACCGTGGCCACAGCAGGGACAGATGGAAGTGGTCGCCGGGACAGTTCTGCATGGCTGAGCTTCCAACTCAGGATTACGCCCTGGCCAGCGAGGTGGGGCCAGCAGGCTGCATGGCCAGGCCTCCCTGGGTTGACTTCCATGGGCAATACCGTGTGCCCAGCCTGCAGCCAGGCCCTTGGAAGGGTCAGTGGGATGGATTCCACTTGGTCCTGTGTCAGAGGCCACAGGCAGGCTGCTGTCTCCAGGCTGTGAAGACAGGGCGTTCTCTGGGCACTGCTTGGCTCCCCACTGTCCTCCTCCTGCCTCGGTCTTTGCATGCCCACTCTGTTCCTTTTGGTCCGGAAAATGCCACCGCCGTCCAGAAGCTTCTGAGTGTCTTGCGTCTTGAGCTGTGACAATGCTGTTGGGACTCACAGTCCAGGGAGACGCCTGCCCCTCTTTACTGCTGCCAGGTGGTAGGCACATTCCATAGAGGCTGTGTGGGGACAGAAGCAGTCCCAGCTGACTGTAGGGTGTTAGAAGGACTTGGGCCTCCCGTGCCACAGCTCCCAGCCACGGGGCAGTGCCCTTCTCCGTGTCTTCTCTCGGAGTTCTTCCATTCCTGAATGTGGGAGACAACAGAGGATGGGGGTTAGGGGTGCAGCAGCCCCGGGGGCCCTGAGAACAGCGACCTTAAAGCTTCTAGGCCTTGGGGAGAACCCAGAGCTGAAAAGTGCCTCATGGCAGAACTCTGAGCGGTCAGTGAGTCTACCCCGCAGGGGAGCTGGGGACTGGATCTGTCCTGTCCGTCAGCATCATCTTGGAAGGAGTGTGTACTCTGCATACAGCCCCCAGCCAGTACCCCACCATCCCCAAAGCCAGAACGAGGGCGGAGGGGGGAGACCATCCCTGTCAGAAACTTGGTAGAGCTGTCAGAAACACCTGACATGAGCTGCCAGCATAGACGCAAAGGACATCACTTTGTTTAAAAAGCATTTTCAAAAACAATGAGAATTGACAGCGCGCCACAGGGAAGGAAGCGCAGGCTCCGTGCGCCCCCGTGTGGAGGGATCCGGTCTGTCCTCCGAGACCGCGCTCCGCAGCCCTGTCGGGGGCAGCTTACCTAGAAGGCGCGGGGAGGCCAGGCGAGGCCGCCCAAGGTCCCCCGGCGCGGGGTAAGGGAAGGGAGGCCCCCTTTCCTGTGCTTCGCCCGGCGCCCACCCGGCGCAGGACCCACGGGCTGGGGTCCGGCAGGCCGACCGGCTCTCTGTCCCGCGCAGTGTGCGCTCCGCACGAGTTCCAGTGCGGCAACCGCTCGTGCCTGGCCGCCGTGTTCGTGTGCGATGGTGATGATGACTGCGGGGACGGCAGCGACGAGCGTGGCTGTGCCGACCCGGCCTGCGGGCCCTGGGAGTTCCGCTGCGGCAGCGGCGGCACCTGCATCCCGGAGCGCTGGGTCTGTGACCGCCAGCTGGACTGCGAGGACGGCTCGGACGAGGCTGCCGACAGGTGTGGCCGCGCCAGTCCGGGGGCCACAGCCGCGCCCGCTGCCTGCGCCACCGCCTCCCAGTTCGCCTGCCGCAGCGGCGAGTGCGTGCACCTGGGCTGGCGCTGCGACGGCGACCACGACTGCAAGGACAAGTCAGACGAGGCCGACTGCCGTAAGCCCCCCCATGGCCCGGCCACTCTGCTCGTCTTGCTCCTCTTCCTGCCCTCGCCTGAGTAGATTCCTGCCCCGACCCCTGTCCTGGTCAGTGTGGAGGAGGACCAGGAGGGAGGGGTGGCCTGTTAGCGGGCTGGTGGCTACCGGGGCAGAGTCAGGTCTAACTCCAGAAGCCCAGCATCCTCATGCATACGCTCCCTGTCCCTCATTCCAGGCTGTCCCCCACAGGGTTCTTCTGCACGAGACCTTGAACTGTCCAGGATTCCTCTCCACCTACCAGGGTGGCTCATCTTTCAAGGCCTGGCCTAGATGGCACTGACCATCCCAGCCAGGCTGGTTCCCTCCACTGGACTGTCTTACAAGCCCTTAGTGGTCCCTGGGCTCCGGCTCCACCTCCCCTCCACCCCATCCCCCTGGCACAGCAACCTGGCTCAGGTCAGGTTTGCAAGTGGGTGATGTCATTAAGTGATGAACACCAAGACTCATGGTCTGTTCTGAGGGACTGGCCCTGGGCAGTGGTGGTAGATGATGGAGCAGGAGACCTGGTTTTGTCCTGGCTCTGCCAGCCAGAGTGCTGTGGGACCCTGGAAAGTCCCTTCCCCATCTCTGAGCTTCAGTCTCCCCTCCTGTACACACTGCAGGTGCCTCGGCCAGGGGTCCTGTGAGGACTGCTCGGCTCAGCCACCGGTCCTGTTCTTGCCAGATGTCGCTGTAGCATGGGCAGGGCGGGTCAGGGGACTGTCATTGTGCCTGACCCACTGACCCCATCCCTTTGCCCTCTCCCAGCAGCACTGGGGACCTGCCGTGGAGACGAGTTCCAGTGCGGGCATGGCACTTGCATCCCTGCCATCAAGCGCTGCGACCGACATCAGGACTGCCAAGATGGGAGTGACGAAGCTGGCTGCCTGCAGGGTGCGTGACGCCGAGGGACCACGACTTCCCCAGGACCGATTTGTCATACTTGCCTGGCCTCTCCTTGGGCCCGGAGAGGCAGTTCCCACAGAGCGCCACTCATCCTCTTTACTTGATTCTGGCTCCCTTCCCATGGGATCCTGGCCATGCCGGGACTGGATTTTTAAGGACTCTGTGCAAGGGGGAGGAGACCTGGGACATGAAAGGGCACCTTGGGAAGTCCAGCCCAACCCCACCACTTACCCCCTTCCCTCTCTACAAACTGGCAAATGCTTGGCTCCCAGGTTCCCCGACAGCAGAGGCTGTACCCTGCTCCCCACGAGGCCCTCTGGATTTTCAGAGGACCTGATTATCTCCTGCTCCCAGCAGGCAGGGCTCTTAACCCAGAAGTCATCCAGGGGAACAGACAACGGGTTGGACAGTGAGGTGACCACCTCTCTCTGGGCTCATGGGGCAGAGGTCCCCTTTGGCCTCTGCACAGATCCACCCAGGGCCAGATAAGATGCAAGCTCCTGGGCCTTGCTAGCTGGGTGCCACCTGACCTTCTGAGCACTTCTAGGGTGTTGGCCCAGGGCACTCAGCCTTCGCAGGTCCTGGGTGCCGCTATCATGAGACCCTTGGACTTTGCTTGCCTCCCATAGCCCCGGGCCGGCCCTCCTGCCCCACCATCTTACAGCTACTGTCCACTCTTCTCTGGCCCAACAGAGTCAGCTTGTGAGGGTCCCCGCAGATTTCAGTGTAAGAGTGGCGAGTGCGTGGACAGCAGGAAAGTGTGTGATGCTCAGAGGGACTGCCGGGACTGGTCGGATGAGCTTCTGAAAGAGTGTGGTACGGTACCTGTCCTGGTCACCAGTGCTCCCGCCCTGTCCCTCCTGGCCTCGGCCTTGAGGCTCTGGTGTGCCATCCCTCTTTCTTGACTCATGTGCTGTCCTGTGGCCTGAGATGGGGTTCTGCCCCTGGGGTCTCTTGTTCTTTACCTCTATACAGCTTCCAGCTTCCTTCCCAGTGTATATGCTCAGAACAGAGATGCTTCCTCTCACAAACTTGGCCTTTCCTCATTCCTTCCACTTTCAGGCCTCTGAGTGTGTGTTCTCTATTGCCTCCCTTCCTCAGGCTTCCTGTCTCACTGATCTAGTAGGGGTCCAGTGCAGGAAACCCAAGGCAGCGGCAGGCCATGATGGCTGCCCAGGCCTGACCTGCATGGAACAAGTGATGCAGCTCCAGCAGCAAGCAGCAGGTGGCGCTTTCCTCAGCCCGACCAAGCCGGGCTGCACAAGAGCAAGCAGCAATGAGGCTTCTGTTGCCAGCGGCTGCCAGGGTGGATGGCTTCCAGGCTGGCAAGCACAGATTGCCCAGACTGAAGTGGGCTGAGGACCAGGAAGGTCCAGTGTGAACCACAGCAGGTCAGGGGTCGAGGGAGATTTGGACTAAAACCCCTGGAAAGGCAGTGCCCTTCCACCACCTGCCGCCTTCCTTTCTGACCATCAGCTTCCCACCAATCCCAGTCCTGGGCTCTCCCAGGAGCTCCAGTATCTGAACTCCCCAGGAAGAGCATCTTCCCTTCCTTTGTGAAGATAGAATAAAAGCTGGTTCCGAAGGCTAGCGTCACCAAATAGGGGTCACTTGGCTGCCAGCTGAGCTATTGGAAGAAAGACGTCCCAGCCTCTGTGCCAGCCCCCTCCCTGCCAGTGGGCCCCACCACCAAGTAGAGAAGTCCCAGAGAAGGACTGGGGAAGCAGGAATGGCCAGGCTTGGCAGCCCCGCACTCCCAGACTTGGAGCTCACTAGGGACTACTAATCTACTAAACTCTCTTGTCTCTTGCATGATTCACAAAGAGAAGTATGTGTTGAGGTATGCATGTGTTGTCTGTACGTGTGCCTGCTGTGTCTGTTGGGGAGAGCCAGTGCCTGAGTCTCCTGCTCTGCCTAAGGTCGGGGAGCCGCTGTCCCCCTCCCCCGTGTGTGTGTCCTCAGGTCTGCGGGACGTGTCTGTGCCTCTGCACATCCACAGGGATGTGTGCATGCGGGTGTGTGCACGTGCTGAGCCAAATGACACAGCGCCTTTCATCCATGCTACTCAGGCCTCCCAGGACCACGCTAAGCCCCCTTCCTCGTGGATCTCGGAGTCCCCTCTGGGCTGGATGGCATGAGGAAGAACCAGAGCCGCTTCAGGCTCCCAGGGGAGCATAGGCAGGCAGGCAGGTCCACACCTGCTGTCCTTTTTCTTCTTGCCACCCACCTCAGCCCTGGAGGACTCTGTACCTTCAGAATCATTCAGAGCTCTCCCCTGGCCCCTTATAGGGCTTCCTGATATGTGCCCCTTTCATCCAGCCCTCAGCAGACACAACCGCTGAGATGCTGCTCCCTGCCGGAGGGGAAGATGGAAGCAAGTGCCTGAAGGAGATGCGAGCACGCACGTGGATGGGGTGTTCTGGGGTCCAGGAGAGGTCAGGGTGGGCCTGGAGTGACAGGAACGTTCCTGGAGGTGGTGCTCCACACATACCACTCCGGGTACTGGGCCTGGCTGAGTCACTCCCAGGCCCCCCTGGTCACAGGCTTGCTGTGGTTTTGTTCTTTCAGTTCCACCAACATTCCGGGGAAACAGAAGGAGGCCCAGGGGTAAAGGGGATTTTCCCTAAGCTTGGCTCAGGCTGGAGGTGGGGGCACCCCTCGGCTGTGCATGGCCTGGAGTGGGCAGCTCAGCTCGGCTTGGCGGGATGGGGTGGGGCCAGGTGGTGGTGCTTGCATGCAGTGGGTAGGAGTGTGGCACCCTCTTTCAGCTTGTGGCACTGACTTTCTGTGGTTCTGAAGCTCAGGATGCGGTGAGGACTCGGTGAGCCTTGGCCCTGGACTCCCTGGCTAGAAGAAGGTGGTCAGGGAGCAGAGGAGGGGTAGCCAGAACCAGGCTTAGGACAAGGTGGAGGAACAGGGATGAGAGGTGGAAGGAAGGAAGGAGGGAAGCTGGGAAAAATAACTCACTCCCATATCAATTCATAGTGGGATAGTGTTAGGGGGCATTCTGTGTGTTCAGAATCCTTGGGTAGCAGACTAGCCTGGACCGTGGCCAGAGAAGTGTCAGAGACCAGAGTGCACCGCAGATTTTGAGGTACATCTGTGTTCCCCATCCCATGCCAGGCCCATATAGCAGGGCTGGGAGCTGCCCCAGGGCAGTGTGGTTCCCAGGTGAAGCTGCCCAGCCAGGAAGCCAGGCATATTCCAGAAGGGGTTCCCAGGCCCACCTAATGGTTGGATGGCACACACACAAGTCCCTTGCCTCGGAGGCCACAAGGAAGGAAAGAGCTTAGGAAATGGGTTTGTGAAAGGAATGACTGTTGGCCAGCAGGGAAGACCAGGCTGTCTCCAGCCTGGGTGGCCTGGCAGGCCAAGGACCAGAGCTCTGGTGCCACTTGGACCCTGACTGACCTTGAACACGGGCTTGCCCTCTCCGAACCTCCTCCCGCCCAGCCACCCAGTTCCTGAGGCTGGGGTTTCTGGAGGCCTCCTCTCCGAGTCCTCCCAGCTGTGGGATTCCCGCTGCCCCAGGCTCTGCTTCTGCTCCAAGCCCTGCCCCCCCATCCCCTGGTAGGGACCCTCAGGAACCTGCGTCCCTCTGCAGGCCTTGACGAGTGTCTGCACAACAATGGTGGTTGTTCTCACATCTGCACTGACCTCAAGATTGGCTTTGAGTGCTCCTGTCCTGCGGGTTTCCGGCTTCTGGACCAGAAGACGTGTGGTGGTAAGAGCTCCTCCCTGCCGCCCCAAAAGCTGAGATGGATCACATGGCCAGTTCTGACCCCTCACCCCCACTCGGCTCTTTCCCACAGACATTGACGAGTGTGAGGACCCAGATGCCTGCAGCCAGATCTGCATCAATTATAAGGGCTACTTCAAGTGCGAGTGCCACCCTGGCTATGAGATGGACCCAGAGACCAGGAACTGCAAGGCTGCTGGTGAGTGCTTCTGAGGGTCCAGGAAGTGGTGCACAATGCAGAGGGCGGGTTGCTTGGAACTCCAAGTATATATAATATAATAACACAGAACCCACAACAGTATGCAGCCTTATACACTCAGTCATACCACCCAAACAATACAGAACACATAAAGTGGCCTGTTGCATGTAATGTGTAACCTGGTGTTATCCCACATATGATGTATGTGAGACATGACACAGATTATATTTGTGCAGTGGAGGCACCGAGCTGCTGACCATGCTTGCACAAAGTCCTCATATATGCAGGTGCTTTTATATTTTAAAAAGCGTGTACTTATTTTAAAGGCAGTTACTGAGACAGGTGGAAAGAGAGATCTTCCATCTGCTGTGTCATTCTCTATATGACCACAGTGGGGTAAGGCTTGGTCGTGCTGAAGCCAAGAGCTAGGAGCTTCATCTGATTCTCCCATGTGCATGGTAGGGGCTTCAACACTTGGGACGTCTTCCACTACTTTTTCCAGTCCGTTAGCAGGGATACAAACTGGCATCCATATAGGAAGCTGGCATTGCAAATGGAAGATTTATCCACTGCACCACAATGCTGGTGCCACAAGGGTCTTTTTTTAAAGTTCAGCGTAAATGGGATTAAAAGATGAGTTTACAAGCACTGGCATCCCATATGGGCGCCGGTTCTAATCCCGGCCGCTTCACTTCCCATCCAGTTCCCTGCCTGTGACCTGGGAAAGCAGCAGAGGACAGCCCAAAGCCTTGGGACCCTGCACCCAAGTACATGGGAGACCCAGAGGAAGCTCCTGGCTCCAGGCTTTGGATCAGCTCAGCTTTATCCATTGTGGCCACTTGGGGAGTGAACCAACAGATGGAAGATCTTTTTCTCTGTCTCTCCTTCTCTGTAAATTTGCCTTTCCAATAAAAATTGTAAAGTTTTTTTCAAGGATCTTCAAAAACATCACAGAAAAAATTATACATGGACTTTTTTGCACTAAAACAAACTTACCTTTCAATTTCATTTGCCATGACCTTTTTTTAAAGATTTATTTATTTATTGGAAAGTCAGATATACAGAGAGGATGAGAGACAGAGAGGAAGGTCTTCCGTCCGATGAGTCACTCCCCAGGTGAGCACAATGGCCGATGCTATGCCGATCCGAAGCCAGGATCCAGGAACTTCTTCCAGGTCTCCCATATGGGTGCAGGGTCCCAAAGCCTTGGGCTGTCCTCATCTGCTTTCCCAGGCCACAAGCAGGGAGCTGGATGGGAAGTGGAGCTGCTGGGATTAGAACCAGTGCCCATATGGGATCCTGGCACATTCAAGGCGTGGACTTTAGCCACTAGGCCATGGCACCGGGCCCTGCCATGACCTTTTCAAAGAATTCTTTTGAATGTGATTATACCAAACCTCAAAACCTAAATATGCCAGGCCTGTATCACAGCTATTAGGAGAAATTGTGTCAGGGTGTCCCTAGATGTTTGCTTGCAGGGAGGCCATGTCCTCGCCCTCATCTGAGGATAGGAACGTCATACAGCTGGAGGGGTGGCAGAGCTGGTCCCGGAACCAGCCTCCCTCTTCTCTCCTCCCTCACTATGAGCCTTCTCTCTCTCTGCTCTATGTGTGCCATGCCCTCCCTCTAACCCTGACCTTGCCTGTCCAACATCTCCATCACTATGCATGTGGATCCGGGTGTTATCTGCTCGGTGCTGGTGCCACCCTGCCCCAGGAGAACATAGGTGCCTGCCACAGAGGCATAGTGACAAGAACCAGGAGGCCTTTAGAAGCATCTACTGGAAAACGAGTGAGGAAAGGGCACAGGCAGTTCCAGGGACAGGCGTATCTAGGCACTGAGATGGTGTTAGTGCCCAAGTGGCCAAGCAGAGCCTGTAGGAGCTGGTGCTGGCTGCCCACTTACAGGCCTGGGGGCGGGACAGTGATATTCCCATGGAGTTGCTGGGAATTTCTAGGTCACTGACAATCTTCTGAAAATCTAAGCCTTAAATTGGTTTTGTACCTGCGTGAATAGTTATATCTCCATACAGCTGGGCGTTTGCTAAGGAGGGCTGGCATTCTGGTAGAGCAGGAAAAGTTGCCAACGGTGACACAGGCATCCCATATGGGCAGCAGTTCAATCCTGGCTGCTCCACTTCTGATCCAGCTCCCTATAAAAGTGCCTGGGAAAGCAATGGAAGACGGCCCAAATCCATGGGCCCCTGCACCTACATAGGAAACCCAGAAGAAGCTTCTAGTTCTAGCTTTGGCCTGGTCCTACCTCTGGCCATTGCAGCTGTTTGGGGAATGAGCCAGTAGGTGAAGGATTTTCCTTTCTCTCTCTCTCTCCCTTCCTCCTTTCCTCCCCTGCCTCTCTGTAAAACTTTTAAATAAATATTAAGGAAAGGAAAAGGAAAAGAACACTTCATTCAGTTTCCAGGGCCCTTTGCTGTCTGGTGCAGGCCACTGCCTGTAGCTTCATTCCTTGCCATGCCTGCTGCTCCAGCCCCCTGCGCATGTACAGGCACACACAGCCTCTGTGAGGGTCTTCCCCTCCACCTCTGCCCTGATGGGTATCCTCTAAGATGCTGCCTGTCCAGGGAGCCCTTTTTCTGAGAGGGGCAGTATAGTAAAGGTGATCACTGCAGGAAAGAGATGTGTTCTGGGTGCAAGGGTCCTGAGGCAGCAAAGCCCTGCCTGGCCATGTAATGCCAAGTAGTCCAGCCGCTGGAATCCAGTGTGTTAGAGGGGTAGGCGACACAGCTGGGCAGGGAACTCGGGATCAGCTAACAGAGAAATGGGGAGTTGTGGGAGAGTTTGGGGAGTCTGTATCTCATAAGAAGAATGAAGATTGTATGAATGGTACTTTACATTTGGGCCTTTTGTACTCATTCCTTCATCCTTGCCCACATGGCAGCTGGCAGGAACCCGTTCCTGATCTTCACCAACCGGCATGAGGTGCGCAAGATAGACCTGGTGAAGCGGGAGCACTCCCGCCTCATCCCCATGCTCAAGAACGTGGTGGCGCTGGACGTGGAAGTGGCTACCAACCGCATTTACTGGTGTGACCTCTCCTATCGCAAGATCTACAGGTGAGTGCATGGCCCCGGAGCCAGACCTTGAGGGGTGGCTTCTGGCACTAGGGTTTCTTGGGGGCCTGGGAGAGGCTTGGAAATTAGTGCAGATCAGAGTGGAAGTGGAGCCACCAGGGTTGAGGGCTCTGTTGGAAAAGTGGCATTAAGCACCACCCACCTGGGCTTTGTCTGACCCCTACTGGCCTAAGGAGGAAGTGTAAGACACAAGAAATTAAGTCAGGCCTTTTGCCCTGGGAGGAGGGTCCTTCTGAGCTCAAGGCTCTTGGTGGCCTTTCTCAAGATGTCTCTGGTCTGCCTGTGTGCCACCCTGCAAGGCCAGGCCCCCTGGGGGCAGTCATGTCCTTTCTTTGTCCTGAGATGCCCTCCGCAGGCCCAAGGTAGATGCTGAGGCACAGCCGAAAGAACAATGGAACAGATGAGCGAATGGAAGGAAGGATGATGTGTGCTGCCCCGGATGGCCAGCTCCTCCCTCCCCAACACACAGACACCTGCACCTGCACACCCAAGGGCAGGGCTAGAGCAGTTGTGACAGAAGGGGAGGGTCTGGTGACAGACTGGACAGGAGACCCAGAGATGGGACTTGGGAGATATCCGACACAGGTTCATTTGAGGTTTCAGGTTTCTGGCTTGAGCAGTTTTGAGGAGAGAAGTTTTGAGTTTCAAGCTTGGGCTGTTGTTTGAGATGAGAGGCACTAACGAGGAGCAGGGTTGGGCGGTCTGTCTGTTAGGCCAAGGGATGGGGAGTGGAAGTGAGCCATCTGGGAATAGATTGGGCTCCCAGGGTCTGGCAAGTCGAAGGGAGTTGGCTGGCTGTGTAGTCCAGAACTGCTGAGAGTGGTTGGGATTGGAGAGGCAGTTAGGAATGGCAGTGGACACTGGGGAGCTAATGGCCCAGAGAGAGTGGAGAGGAGAAACCCTTGGGAGACATTACATCTGACCAGTGCTCAGCCTCTGCCCCAACCTCACCTCAGATTCCTCCTCTGTCGCCTGGACACTGTGATAGCCTCCTGACCGATTTCTTGCCTTAACTCCCTGCCCCTTCCAAGCAGCCCACTCCCAGGTGCCACAATGACCACACATGCCTCTCTAACCATGCCTGTGACCCTGTCTGTCACCCCTCTGGCAGCCTGCGGCCCCTATCTGCACACACTTTTGTTCTCACAGCCCATATTCCCAGCTTTCTCCAAGAGAACAGCATGCTCTTCTCTGGGTGCTCATACTGGCTGGTCCCTTTGCCTGGGTGCATTCTGTCCTCTGGCTGCTCGTGAGCCAGGGTCCTGGGACTCAACCCCAAAGTACTCCTTCACTCTCCGGGATGGGACTGAATCCACTTTTTCGACTACCATAGGCCTTTGTTGCTGTCTAGAGTCACATCCTGTTATTTCTGCCTGCAAATCGGTACCCCTTCCCTCATTCCCCCTAAGCTGACCCCCCCTAGACCACAGAATGGGGCTGAGCTAAGCCCATATTCCCAACCCTGGTGTCCAAGGAATATGTTGAATGAGAACTAGCCACATTCTCATTCTCCCACTGTTAAAGCTGGAGAAGGAGATGTGGGAAGGGTGCCTGGGCTGCTCCAGCCGGGCCCCTGGGTAGACCATCTGCCCATGGCCAGCTCTGGTTTCTCCCAAGTGCCTACATGGACAAGGCCAGCGACCCAGCAGAGCAGGAGGTCCTCATTGATGAGCAGCTGCACTCTCCAGAGGGCCTGGCAGTGGACTGGGTCCACAAGCACATGTACTGGACTGACTCGGGCAATAAGACCATCTCAGTGGCCACGCTCGATGGTGGCCGCCGGTGCACTCTCTTCAGCCGTGATCTTAATGAACCCCGGGCCATCGCTGTTGACCCCCTGCAAGGGTGAGTATCCCCATGCCAAGCGTCCCCTTTCTCCTACCATGAGCGCTCAATCCCTATACATCTGACTCAAGAGCTATCCTGAGGGGCCTAGAAGGCTCTGAGCTAATCAGGCACAGGCCATGAAGAAGCCAGTCCATGTGCACCCCTCATCCTCTTAACTCCCACCCAAAGGGTTTTGGGTTATTGGTCATTAGGGTTCCCCTAGATGCTGCAGCTCACTCCTACTGCAGGATAGGAGCATCTCAGAGCAGAGCAAGGTCTAGATATTGTCCAGTAGAGGCTCCTAAGGCAAGACGGTAACTGCTCCTTCTGCTCTGTAAATCAGAAAAGGGTGGGCTTACAAGGATTCTTCTCAACTTACACTCAAGGGCTCTACTTCAAGCTGCCACTGTGGGAGAGATGGCCTCATGGCTTGTTGCACCGAGGCTGAGTAGACTCGGGGAATACAGCCCTCCAAATGTGAAGACTAAAGTGCCTGCTGGCAAAGACAGGATGGCCCCGTGGGATCTCAGAGTCTTTCTGGTCCTACTACACTTAATGCTCAGCTTTTTGGGAGACGATTGGGTCCCAGTGACTCAGACCACCCCTGCCAAGTCCCAAACAAGAAACCAGGTTGGACTCTTCTTTCTTTTAGGTACATGTATTGGTCTGACTGGGGGTTCCAGGCCAAGATCGAGAAGTCTGGGCTCAATGGTGTGGACCGGCAAACGCTGGTGTCGGACAATATCGAATGGCCCAATGGAATCGCCCTGGGTGAGCCCTGCCATCCCCAGATTGGAAGCCTTTTCTAGTAGCTGGTCCTCACCCCTGTCTGTAGCTCCATAGGTCTTGTTTCTGCATCCCCTGTGGTACCAGTGCCTTTGTTCTCTGGTGATTGTTTCCTGGGCTGGCTTCACTCTGAGTCCTGGAAATGGGGGCAGGGAGGGGGCCCCGAAACAGCGGAGGTCCCAGGTTCCATGGCCTGCTCCTCCTCCCCTCTCCCCTTCGTCCTTCTCAAGATTTGCTGAACCGGCGCTTGTACTGGGTAGACTCCAAGCTGCACCAGCTGTCTAGCATTGACTTCAGCGGAGGCAACAGAAAGATGCTGATTTCTTCCAGCGACTTCCTGAGCCATCCTTTCGGGATAGCTGTGTTTGAGGTGAGCCCCCATAAAAGCAGGCCTGGCCCCGGCAGGAAGCTGATGGCCAGGAAAGGCATGTTCAGCTAGCCTGACTCCCTGATACTTGTCCAGAAGCATATCTGTCTGCAGTTTCTGAGCTGCCTGCGTACAGAGGTTGTTGTAGCTTACTGTCTGCCAAGGGGGTCTTTCCTGTGCTGTGTTCCTAAGACCCCTCCTGCAGGGAGGTACTGTTTCCTTTCTCAGCACCCAGCCTTGTACCACATGTCCAGAAGGGGGAGGGAAAAAGGAAAACTCAGACCATTCTCTGTAGGAAATGAACTGAAAGATGCTATTTGATTCAGATTTTTTTTTTTTTTAATTAGAGGCAGAGGCTGAGAGGTTCACTTACTCTCCAGATTCCTGAAACAGCTGGCTTGGGCCTGGCTGAAGTTGGGAGCTGGACACTCCTTCCTGTCTGGGCAGCAGGGACTTGGTACTGGAGCCATCATCTGCTGCCTCCCAGGGTGTGTTTTAGCAGGGAGTTGGAATTGGGAGCAGAGTTAGAACTTGAGCTCCAACTCTATGATACCAACTGCTGTGCTGAGCGCTCACCTCATTGCGACAGTCTGGCTGATCATTGCCAGACCCTGTAGTCACAGAGCTCAGTCAGCATCAGGAAGCACCAGCAAGGCAGGGGTGGCGAGTCAAGACCTGAACTCCAGCGATCATCTGCCCTGACGCATGAAGAAGCCAGAGCAAGCACTGTCTCACATACCTCCTCCTCCCTGAGGCGAAGTCTGCTGCCTGGGGGAGGGAAGGCAGGGACCTGTGCCCTGAGGTGGTCACTGGGGTTGGGGCTTGGAAAGCATCACTCGGCATTCCTCGCAATGCAGCCCTTGCTTCCAAAGACAAGCGTGTTTGAGCACATGTATGTGCTGGAGTATACAGATGGCATGTGGGATGTGTGGACCTGCATGTGCATCTGTAAATGCACTAAAGAGCATGTGTGCTGGCTCCTGTGAGATAAATATGTATGCCTTTCTGTGTCTAAATCTGTGAATGATGAGGCATGATTGTGCCTGTAAGATACAGGTCTGGGCTTGTGTGCACTAACTGGGGACTGCTGTTTGTGTGTATGTGTGTGAAAGGGGGGCGGAGCAAGAGAGAGAGAGAGTGTGTGTGTGTGTGTGCACGTGAGCACCCCCAGAAGCCTCATGAGGCCCTACAGGGCATAGCCCTCAGTGGTTCACACATCCCCACCAAGCTTATCTTAGTCCTGGGATCCAGGGGTAGTAAGAGCTCTTGAAGCCCAACAGGTCCAGCTTGGCACCAGTGATGCCAAGTCACTTGTGAGGCCAAAAAATCTTCTGAAATGGCAGGGACCCAGGCCAAAGTCCCCTTACAGAACAGAAGCAGAGTTCACTATGAGTCTATGAGCAGGGTAGCTCAGGGAGATGGCAGGACAGTTCTTGTGACGTGGTTTGGGGCTGGGCCGTCAGATGGAGGTCATGGGTGTAGACTCCAGACCCTCATCCTCTGTATCTACCTCATAGGACAGGGTATTCTGGACAGACTTGGAGAATGAAGCCATTTTCAGTGCCAATCGACTCAGTGACCTGGAAGTCTCCACCTTGGCCGAGAACCTCAATAACCCACATGACATTGTCATCTTCCATGAGCTGAAGCAGCCAAGGGGTGAGCCTTCCCCAGCCGCTGGTACCAAGTCCCCTGCCCATTTATTTATTTATTTATTGCCCTTTTGCTTTTATTTATTCATTTGAAGTGCAGCAAGTCACAGATAGAGATATCCCATCTGCTGTTCATTCCCAAAATGTCCACGACTGCCAGGACTGGGCCAGGGTGAAGCCAGGAGCCTGGAACTCAAACCGAGTCTCTCACATGGGCAGCAGGGACCCAGACACTTGAGCTGTCCACCAGCTGCCTCCCAAGCTGCTAAAATTGGAAGTAGAGCTGGGACTTGAACCTAGCCCATCTGAGTTGCCATCATCCCAAGCAGCTACATCCGTTGGTGGCCCACCTGTCGCTCTGTTTGCCCTTAGTTGCAGATGTCTGTGAGCTGAGTGCCCAGCCCAATGGGGGCTGTGAGTACCTGTGCCTTCCGGCTCCCCAGATCTCCAGCCATTCCCCTAAGTACACATGCGCCTGTCCTGACACCATGTGGCTGGGCCCAGACATGAAGAGGTGCTACCGAGGTAAGAGTGCTCCCCAGGAAGGGGGGTCCTAGCAGTGCCAGACGCTGCCCTGCAGAGATTGTCCCATGGCCGCAGGGCGGTACAGGGAGCCCCTGGTTTTATTCCACCTCCTCCTCCGGCTGCTTCATGCCTTTGCATTTAGAAGCTTCTCTTTTCTCGTTTCCTTGAACACATATATTCCCAAAGCTTTTTCTTCACCCAAGAGAAGAATACACAGAAAGCATTTTCAATTCTGTCTTGAGGAGTTTCTGGAGCTCCTTGAAAAGCCTGAGAATCCTTGCTCACCACAGCTCCAGTCACTGACTTGTGCACATGATTGTTTATTGCATCTCTTGCCTGGAATGTAACCTCGTTTGCATGCCTAGAGAGGGTCAGTTAGCTTCAGCCACATGTTCATTTCTCAGTCTGGATGTGTGGCCAGAGCCTTCTGTTAGAGCATAAAGATGCTGCATCATTCATGATTTTCAGGTTCAACTGTTAAAACTGGAGTAAGAGTTTAAACTCAATGGGGTAAACAATGCATGTCAAGTTATTCCGGGTTTATATGATGTCCCTTTCCTGCAGGCCTTCACAGTGCTTTCAGCCTACCTAATTCTGCTGCATTGCTTTGATGAGTCACCTTATCAAGGTGAAGTGTTTAGGATTCATTTAAAAGGGGATCATTGGGGAGTGAATCAGTGGATGGAAGATCTTCCTCTCTGTTTCTCCTCCTCTCTGTGTATTTCACTTTCCAAAAAAAAAAAAAAAAAAATTTCTAAAAATAAATAAAAAAAAATAAAAGGGGATCATGACCCCTTCAGGATTAGTGAAGGCTTGCCAGTCATGACTTTTCATGTAAGCCATGAGGATGGGCTTCTGATTTTAATGCAGGCAATAGCTTAAGCACCAGAGCAACACAATTTTGTGTCCCAGTGACCTCTGTGGTGATTCCTCTCCAGCACCTCAATCTACCTCAACTACGACATTCGCCTCTACTACGACAAGGACAGCAGCCACCACTCCCAGAGAGCCTGGGACCACCGACCAGAGCCCCACCTACCAGAACCACAGCACAGAGATGCCAACCCTGGCAACCATGGTCCCAAGCTCTGTTGGTGTCAGCAGCACCCCCAACATCAGCCCGTCTATTCCCAGTCCTGCAACCAGCAACCACTCTCAGCACTGTAAGGGAATGAGTTTTGTATTCTTTCTTGACATGGGAGGGGTCTCAGAGATGGAGTAGTGGAGAGAATTGGGACTAAATGCCCCAACCAGGCCTGAAGACTTGTGTGTGTCTGTCTCTGGAGAGGAAGCAGAGGAAGGCAGAGTGCCAGCTTGTGACTTAGGAGTGTTTAACTCCTCTGATATACAGAGAGCCAGGAGAAGTAAGAACCCTTCCCCACCTGCTTTTCAAGGTTGCCTGGGGATAGAGAAGGGAGCATTGTGACCAGTGCTCATGTCCACAGCCCCTGCTGACCCTGGGTGGAGGTTGTGTCTGTGTTTCCTGGGTTACTGGCATGTTGGGGTGAAGGTAGGTAGAAGGGAAGGAAGGTGTCCCCAGGTTTGGGAAACTCAGATCTGAGGGCCCAGCAGACAGCAGTAGCCATAATTGGCATGTCGATGTTCCTTCCAAACCCGGGGATGAGAAGAATTAAGTTCCACAATTACTCAGTCATCAGGAGCAGCAATTGTCACTGCTGGAAAGGTTCTATCTCATTAGCCAGTAAACACCTCTTTAACTGAGTTATCTGCTAGGAGGAGTTTGTTTAAAAGGATAAACAATCTTTGGACATTTCTTTCCCTTACATGGATGGCTTGGTGTAGCGTCTTTCTAACTGGGCTTGTTCTGCCAGTAGACATGGACTTCCAAAGTTGAATGTCAGACCCTGAAATGTACAGAGACAGGCGGAACATGTGTGAATTCCAGCTCCTCACTTCAGGCCCTCCTCACAAACCTGCTCAAGTTCTAGCTCTTGCATCACTGCCCACTGTTGGCTGTGGCCTTGGTCAGGGTGGCAGCAGCATTCCCACAGTTTGCTTTGGAAGCTGGGCATAGTCAGATTCCCTTGGAGTAACTTAGAAAAATGGACACACTAAGAAGATGGGATGTGGACCATCACCAAGGGCTGTCCTCACAGGGAGCAGATATAGACCACAGCTCCTCTTCAAGCTCAGAAGGTTGGCATGAGGCTCCTGGGGGTGGCGGCGGGGAATCCCGTGAGGGCTACCAAGTGCTAAACGGATGTTATAATGCAGGTGGCTATAGGAGTGAAGAGGACGGGCCATCATGCTTTGATTAGACACAGCACACTTTCCTCTTAGAGCTTTCATATACATTGTCTCTTTAAGCCTCACAACCATCCCCCACCCCATTCTCAGCTCTCTGAACCAGCAAGGCTGTGCCAAACATTGAGCTAAAGCATTTTCTGTGAATTATTCTTTTTAAGCCTTACTATATCCCAGGAAGTAGGTAACATCATGATCTGCATCTTTAAGAAGTATCATGTTGACAAATTATAATAGATAGTAACTTGTCCAGGGTCACCAAGTAGTGAGTAGCAGATCTGACACCTTGAACCCAAGAAGTCTGACCCAGAAACCTATGCTCTTGACCTCACTACACTGTGTCCCATTTTAATCACTTATAGAAAAAAATAATAATAATGCAGATAGACAGAACACCAGAGACAGCAGCAGACACAGCATAGTAGGTACCCGCTGAAAAAGGTAGCTGACCCATTCAGCAGTGTAAAGACCCAAGTGTTTAGTCCACCGGGCACAGCTTATAGCCTTCAGTCACAGACAGTGCTGTTAAGAAGGACTCAGGGCTTGGATCATGAGTCCTGGGCACAAGTCCCAGCTCTGTTCTTGTCCGTGAGTCCCTAAACAGTAAGACTCAGGTCTGTAAACTGGAGATGACCCCTGTCCTGCTGGGCTCATGGGAGTTCAGGTAGGATCTGGAAGGGCTGCAGTGTGGAGCATTAGCCAGGACCATAATTTCAGGATGGGAAACACTTGGGTGATCCATGCTCGAGGCCAGTGAGCGCTCAGCCTCATCTTGAGCATTATTCCACAAATTTCTGTGCTTTGCAGATGGGAATGAAGGTGGCAAGATGGGCTCAACAGTCACTGCTGCTATCATTGGGATCATCGTGCCCATAGGTGAGTATGACCCCAAGTCACTGGGGAGAGAAGAAAGGCCTTTCCAGAACCCAGTGGAAAATACTAGAAAGATAGAACGCTTAGCACACTCATCTGTTCTATTGACTAGTTCTTCCCTGGCAACTTTCCTGTTGCTTCTGATTAAATTTGCTTTCTTAACCTGGCCTTTCAGGACTTCGCCCAGCTTACTATCCATGTTTGCCCCCATCCCCTTGTTGTTTTTTTTTTTAAAGATTTATTTTATTTTCATTGCAAAGTCAGATATACAGAGAGGAGGAGAGACAGAGAGGAAGATCTTCTGTCCGATGAGTCACTCCCCAAGTGAGCGCAACGGCCAGTGCTGTGCTGATCTGAAGCCAGGATCCTGGAGCTCTTCCAGGTCTCCCACATGGGTGCAGGGTTCCAAGGCTTTGGGCCGTCCTCAGCTGCTTTCCCAGGCCACAAGCAGGAAGCTGGATGGGAAGTGGAGCTGCTGGGATTAGAACCGGCGCCCATATGGGATCCTGGAGCGTTCAAGGCGAGGACTTTAGCCACTAGGCCATGCCGCCAGACCCCCACCATCCCCTTGTTTACACTGTGCACCCCAACAAAGTAATGGCCAATTGTATTCTCCTTGGAACAGGGATGTTGTCTGCTGTCCAGGTCCTCGTAGTGGCGTAGTGGCTAGCACATGGGAGGAAACCAAGTATTTGCTAACAAGTAGAACTGCCTGTGCTTTGAATAAATGGTACTGTCTTTCTTTGGTTTCAGCACATGTTTATTAAGTTATTATGTGTAAAAGGGGGAAAGGAAGGTGATAAAAAATAAATAAGACATGATTGTTCTACAAAGTTTACAGTCTTACGGGGAAGCTCATATGACATGGCAAGTCCTGGGATTCGTTGTATGTGCTGAGTCTGTATCAGTGCCAAGGAAGCACTTAACCGAGATGGGGAGGAGGGGAAAGCAAAGGTTTCCTATTGGAAGCTGTGTTCGAGCTGAGTGAGCTAAGTGAAGAATCAGGAGCAATCCAAATAGTGAGGACAGTGAGCGCCAAGCCAGGAACAGGAAATGGTATGGAAGGATGATGGTGAGTTTGGAACTAAGAGTTTCATATTGCCAGGCCCCATGTAATAGAACACTCTAGAGTGACAGTGACTGCTTGCCCCTCTGTCTAGCTCAGCTGGAGAGCATTGCCTCCAGTATCTGTTACTACACAGTCAGTCCTCACCCCTGCAATTTCCACCCACTGCTGGGTTTGACTAACTACAAGTGGAAAATAGTTTTGGACAGAAAAGTTGCAATTTTTGTACTAAATGTGCACAGACTTTGTCTTGTGGTTATTCCCTAAACAATAAAATATAACAACTATTTATATGGTATCACAAGTAACCTGGAGTTGACACAGGACCGAGTCATTCTCTCTCCCACCCAGTGTTTTTACACGGTGCCCTGTGTATCCTGTCACCCCAGTGTCATTCCCTGGCAGTGTACTGCAATTGCCCCTTCAACATCCCATCCGTTTATCTCCCATCCGTGCCCCTGAGGACCTCACAGACAAGGACTTTGTCCTTTGGTCCTGGGAATGCTTGAAATGGTGCTGAAGCAATAAGTGAATTTTTTAAAACTCCTCTGTGTGTGAGCCACTGTGCCATGTGTCAGGCATGCAGAGAAGAAAAAGGTGAAAGATTTACTGGCTTTCAGTGTTCGTCATGTGTCACCATAAATAATCAGACAAGGTAGATGTCAGCCCATGCTGTGTCATGCTGTAGTGGAGACAGACCAGCACAGATACACAAAGTGGTGCCTCTGGAGAAGATGCCACTTGAATTGGCCTTAAAGGTCTTCACCAGAGGAGGCAATGGTGAGACTATAGCCCTAAACCTATTTTAAGTGGAATGAGTACATGTACAACTTCCTTTTCTTTGCTAGCAAGAGGCCTGTATGTTCTGTTTGCTGGTAGAACTCCTCCTGATAGAATCCACACACTTATCTAATCTATGCTAATCTAGGGGATGACAAATGAGAACTACTTCCCCATGGGCCACAGTGTCCTTCATAAGCTTATAAGCCTTCATTTACATTTCATCCTTTATGGATTAGCTTTTCACTCTTTTCTTATTTGCTATTAGCTTATTTTTATTTGTAGAAATATTTGCATGTAATGCATAGTAATCCTTTATAACATTTGCCAGTTTGTCTTAGCCTGACATTTGGTTTTCAAATTTGTTTAGGATGTCTTTAGCCATGCATACATTTATAAATTTTCAATGTCAGCTTTGTCAACTTTTGGTTTTATGGTTTCTGGGGTTTGTATCTTGCCTGTATCAATCTGAATTATCTCCTGCTGTTTTCTTCTATGTTAAGCTGATTGCAGGGTTTAGATCTTAGTCCAAATGGTGATTTATTTTAGAGTATAGTATGAGGTGGGGATTTAGCAGATTTTTTTCCCACATACTTGTCTAGTTTACCCAAAACCATTATGAAGCAGGCCATCCTTGTCCTTGCCTTGAATTGTCATTTCTATTATTATAAATTACTTGCCCATACATATTTTGGTCTGCTTCTAGATGTCTCTTCTCCTTCACCCATTGTCTATTCCTACCTATCAGTAGCACAACTTGATGGTATGTTATGTTCACAACATCTTCTTAGCTATATTTTACTGTGACTCTTGAAAATAATCTTGCCAAATCTATAAAAATTATGATGCACTTTCTACTGAAATTGCTTTGTATATAAAAATTTATGTGGGGAGGATTTACATTTTGTCAATATTGAAGCGTCTCATCTAAGAACATGACATTTATGTTGTTTAGTAGAATTGAATTCATATAGGATTTACACACTCTTCCTTGTTATGTTTTCCTAGGTATCTTATAGTTTTTGGTTGGGTTATTGTGTATGTGTTCTTACTCCATTAAATGTTCTAATTATTTTTGATTAGAAAGAAAGCTGTTATTGCTGGTGTTGTGGTACAACTGGCTAAGTGCCACTTGTGATCATTGTGTTAGTTTCAAGTCCCAGCTGTTTTGCTTTGGATTCAGCTTCTTGCTAATGAGCCACGAAAAGCATCAGAAGTTACTTGGTAAGGGGCTGGTGCGTTGGCTCAACTGCCTTTCCAATAAAAATAAATAATTTTTTTTCTTTTAAAAAAGTTACTTGGTGCCCTGCCATGCATGTGTAAGATCAGGGCCGAGTTCCTAGCTCCTGGCTGGCTCATCCATGCCCAGATCTGGCTGTTTGGGGTATTAGTGAATCAACAAATGGAAAAATATCTCTCCCTCCTCTCCTTCTTCCCTTTTTCCCTGTCACTCTTTTTAATAAATCTTTAAACACTAAAAAGAAAACATTGGTTTTTATATTATTTTTAAAGATTTATTTATTTATTTGAAAGGAAGACACAGAGGGGAAGAGAGAGATATTTTTCATTGCCTCTTTCACTCGGCAGCCAGGTCTGGGCCAGGCCAAAGTCAGGAGCCAAGAAATCCATCTTGATCTCCCACATGGGTAGCAATGGCCCAAGTACTGGGGCTATGTTCTACTGCCTTCCCAAGCTCAGTAGAAGGCTTGATTGGGAGCAGAGCAAGTAGGACTTCAACCAGTGCTCTGATAAGCAATGGCTTAACCCTCTGTGTCACAGCACCTACCCTTTCACGTTTATTTTTTACGAACTATAATTAGTATAATAGTTTTTCATCAGCTTCTCTTAACATTTTCCAAACATACAAAAAGCCATTGATAGTAATGGTTTGGTTTTTTCCTTTTCATATTCTACTGTTCAGTGTTTTAGTCTGGTCTTATTGCATAGCCAGATCTCCAGGATAAGAAATAACTGCAATGACAACAGGCATACTTGCCTTATTCCTGTCTAGTAGGTGTCAATTACTGAATCTTACTAGAACAGAAATCTCCCCACCCCCACTGCAGTGGTATTCATTGAGCCTTCACTTAAGCACACAGCGTGACTACTTACTCCCTTAAAGGGCTTGCCCGTCCACCCAGCTCTACCCTCCTATTTAATACATGGTCAGCTGTCCACTCTGCAGTGTCCGCCAAGTGCTTGGTTCAACTAACTCACTGTGGATTGGGAATCTATGAGGGTACATGGGGACTGCATCTATTCTGAAGGTGTGCAGATTTCTTTTTCCTAGCATTATTCTTCATACAATACAGCTTAACAACTACTTGTATAACACTTGCATTACATTGGGTGTTACAAGCAATCTAGAGTTGATTGCATATCTGGGTGGATATGCATAGATCATATGTAAATATTGTGCCATTTTATCATGAGTTATCCGTGGATTTGGGCCCCTCCTGAGGGGTAAAGGATGAATGCAGGAACAAATACCTTGCAAGTAGTAAAGGACAACTGTATTCCTGTCTTCAGGGCCTGCACTGTCCCAGTATGTTCCCTTATAGAGATGCACCTCTTCTGGTGGAGCACTCACCTTAAAACAGAGTGCTGTGTCCTCCAACTCTGGGAGAAAATGGTTTTCTCAGGGATCCAGCAAAGTAGCAGCTAGGGTAGAGGTTGGCCAAGAAATCTACTCATTGGTTCAATACATGCCAGGCACTGGGCCTAGAGATATAAGTAAGATAGTTCCTGCCCTCAAAGGGCTTAGTCTGGGTTGGGTTGCAGCAATTTTGTGTAAGGCACTGTGGTCTGGGGATAGATAACACATGAGGGAGCAGGGACGGCCCAGAGCAGTTGGGGAAGACCTCACATGTGACCTGCATCTCGACAGATGCTTAGTTATTGAAGGAAAGGAGAAATGGGAGGAGGACTTCTGAGTACCAGAAAAGAACACACAGATACGGAACCTGAGCTGGGGGGAGGCTGGGAGGGAAGAGACTCCATCGTAGAGGGGACAAGATAGATGCCAATGTCTGGGCAGTGGGCTGAAGCCTGCAGGAGCTGCAGTGAGCATGTCCCCTCCACAGTGGTCTTGGCCCTGCTGTGCATGAGTGGCTACCTGATCTGGAGAAACTGGAAGCGGAAGAACACCAAAAGTATGAACTTTGACAACCCCGTGTACCGGAAAACAACAGAAGAAGAAGACGATGATGAACTCCACATAGGGAGGACTGCTCAGATTGGCCATGTCTACCCGGCAGTAAGTAGTCCTTGTGGGAAAATTCTCATCTGCCCTGCCTTCCATTTGCCTGCCCTTCCATTTGCCTTCCTTCTCCCATTTTTCCCGTCCTCCACCCCTCACTTATCAAGAACCTACCATGCACTAGATTTTGAGAAACAGAGATGTGCTGGGGAAAGCTGTTAGGGTAGAACAGGTATTAAGACCATCTTGGACCTAACAGCTCTTCCTGGCCAAATGTCTTTAACTTGAATGCATGCCAAGCATCTCATTAGGTATCAGGTGTTTAAAACAAATAAGCAGGGTACCTGCTCCCAAGCACCTGCTGGGACCTTTCATATACTCATGCACAGTTGCACAACTGTGCACCAAGTGCCATGGTGGAAGCTCAGGAGTCCTCTATTCTAGGAAACCTTCCCTGACTTTGTCCCATAGCCCCCTAGGCCTCTCCATTTACAGCATCTGACACATCATTCACTTAAATTTTCCTAGTGGTCTTCCCATTAGATGGAGATCTTTGAGGGTGGAATAACCTGTTTTCCTGGTGCCTAGCACAGCATAGCTAGTTTCCAAGAAATATTTGTTGACCAAATGCTAAGCAAACATCAGCAAGGGACTTGTTAATTCTGCCTGGGGAATCAGTCAAGGAAATCAGAAAAAGTAACAGAAAAGGTCTTGGAAAGATTAATAGCAATTTTGCAGACCAAGAAAGGGAAATGGCACTCCAGAGGCTTGGGCAAATACTTAGAGGCACCAAAGAGCATGACTTGTTGGGGGAGCAAGGGCCATGCAGTGGCTGGAACAGGGCATCATTGTTACATAGCAGAGCCAGGGGGCTGAGTGTGACCACAGAGGTCATCCAGTCCATCCCCCTGTCAGGCAATCAGCAGCTTTGATCGCCCACTGTGGGCAGAGCCCTGTCTTGGGGAGACCAGAGAACTGGAAGACTCAGCCCCTGCCCTCAAGGAGCTTTTTGTCTTGCCGGGGGAACCAAGGTCACAGCTGCACCAACACCCGAAGAACCCTCTTTCCGAGCTGCCTGTCGTCAAATGCAAGGTAGGGCAGTGCCACTCCAAGTCTGAGGGGCTGGTGAGTGAGGGCATGGACTCACGCAGGTGCAGCCAATCCCAGAAAGTTTTGTGGTTTTAGAAGGCTGCAAATTATAAGCTGGGTATTGGGGAAAAGAGGAATCATGGGTTAGTCACAGACTCAGGAAATGGCATGTGTTAAGAAACTGACTGAGTATGGGGCAGGGCATGTAGAATCATTGTTGAAGCAAATTGTTCCTGAAGGGTGGACATGGAAAATGAATCAAACAAGTGAGGAGCATCAGCAGAGGGCCTGCACTGTTTTAAATTTAGCTGATCCAAGTAAACAGCTGCTTAGCCAGTTTTAATCAAGGGGGCACAGTGGAGACTGAGTTTGAAGTAAGATAACTGCCAGCCCTACCATGTGTCACAGCCCTGTGATATTAGTCACTTCTTTCTGCTTGTTTTTATTTGTCATAATAACCTCTGTTTTATTGTCCTTCTGGGTTTCTAAAGTCCAAAGAAAGATAGTACATGTGAGATCGCTTTGTGATTTACAAAGCACTTTGCACATGTAAAGTAGCATTGTTTGTAAAGAAGGAAATGAGCTCCTACCAGCTACAAACAATAGTAGAGTGAGGACAATGCTATTTAGTGACACCTACTGTGTGTCAGACACTGATCTCAGTGATTTGCTACATTTATTCATTTTATCTTCACAGTAGCCTTATAAAGTTGGTATTACTAGTCCCACTTTGTACATGAGGAAACTGAGACTCATAGGAATTGAATAGCTTGCTCAAGGTCATAGCCAAGAAGTGGCAGAACCAGGATTCAAACTCTGGTCTGTATGTATACAGAAGCTAGTGTTGCTTCCATTCTATCATGGAGTAAATAGCCTTGAAGCTCTGGAAATTGATTTCTCAACAACCTGTTCCTTCCTCTGTCCCTCTCTCAGTTCTCTCATCACTACTGGGACCTGTCTTTAGGCTAGAGATTTGTCTCAGAGACAGTGGGATGGTGGCTGGATTAGAATACCATAGTCTCACATACCTATGCTAGGGGACCATGGCCATTACATTCATGGAAAACCACAATGAAATAATGATTTCAGTGGCAGTGGAGTCACCTTTTACCATATGTAGACACCACAGAAATGAAGCATATTTGCCTGGTTCCATTTTATACTAGGTAGGTTGAGGCAGAATAATATGAACCACATACATGTCAGGTACTACATTAAACACTCCATGTGCCTTATCTCATTTGATTCCCCAGCAATCCTATGAGGTAAGTCCTAGTGCTATTCCCATTTGACAGATGATAAAACTAAGAATCAGAGAGGTGAAATGACTAGCCCTGTTTTATATAACCACAGAAAGAAGGATGCTGAAATGAAGTTATGTCCAAAGGAAGGAATGGATGAGTGGTAGAAGAGGGTTCTTATATCAGGATAATCTAGGGAAAGCTGTATGTGTTCTGGAGGAAGAAACAACCCCAAATGAAGGAAAAGGAATTCAACCACTATAAATCTCCAGGGCTGTCCTGAGCAGAGAACTCTGATTCTAATGAGATTCAGGAAACATCAAAAGATCGAAACATTTCATTTCAACATAGGACAACATTTAAACCCACTGTCCAAAAGGGAATAGACTGGCTCGGGTTAGGATGTCCACTACCTAGTGCTAAGTCATTTGTGGCAAAGAAGAGGTGTGGGGGAGAGGGATTAAATTTGACCTGCATAGCTTTCCAATTCTGTGTCATCAGTAGGAGGGGGTACAGCATATCAGCCTGCTCATTGTGGTTATCTTGCTGAGGTTTAACCCTTGCCCAAGCCAACCCTCTCAGGTTGATCAACTCCAAAATCGTCGAAGGGAGGATTGAGAATGTTTAGATTTCTCCTTGACAAAGTGGGACAGAAAAAAATAATGAAGAAAGCTACAGCTCTGGATTCACACCAAATTTTAGTTCAGCCACTTGCTAGGATCCAGGACAAGTATTACTTAAGTTCATTGAGTCTCAGTTTTCTCATCTATAAAATAAAAAAGACAACTTTTGTCTTATGGAACAGTTTGAAGATGATGTGAGCCAATATCTTTTGAGCAGTAGTATGTCTAATACTTTGCTGATGATAAACAGGAGCTCTTGCATGTCTAATAATGATTTCTTTGGTCTCTCTCCCCAGCGAGTGGCATTAAGCATTGAAGATGATGGACTACCTTGAGGATGGGACCAGCCCTTCGTGCCTCATGGACTTCAGTCCCATGCACTATACTCTCTGGATGGTGTGGCACAGGGTGGATGGGTTTCTGTATATGGGTCTGTGTGTGTATGTGTGTGTGGGTGTGTGTCATTTTTTTTTTTAATTTATGTCGTGGAAAGGTAACCACAAAGTTATGATGAACTGCAAACATCCAAAGGATGTGAGAGTTTTTATATGTATAATGTTTTATACACTTTTTAACTGGTTGCACTACCCATGAGGAATTCATGGACTGGCTACTGCTGAGTGACTAACATGATGTACATAACCAAACAAACGCCCAGGGGACAGAACCTAACTCATCAACTAAAACCTATATTTACAGAGGATGTTTGACTTTAGGGGGGTTTTTTAGGTTTAGGGATTTTGGTTTTTTTGTAAATAAAATTATTATGCTTTGTGGCTATTTATCAACATAAGTAGAAAAAGAAAAAAATACTTCAATTCCCCCCCCCTTTTAGATTATTTATTAACATATTTTTAAAAATAAGATTAGTTCTCTAAATAATTTAGAGAAGCAAGAGTATTTATTTTTGGTATGACTGGCCCACCACACAGATTTGTGTGTGTGTGTGTGTGTGTGTGTGTGTGTGTGTGTGTGCTAATATGCATATGTGTGTGAGAGACAACTCTGTAGAGAAGAGGCACACCAGTTGTTCAAATACAGAAAGATCCGTTTATTTTAAAAAGAGTCCACACGAGGTATCTGAGGTTTTCAGAGAAGCCTTTGGAAATTTGGCTCATAAAATAGATGCCATGATTTGTGCAAACATATGGTACAACAAGCAGATCTTTTCACTCCTGACTAGTTTCTAAGACCTTTGTAAATGAGGAAAGCCATTCCACTCTCTCATGGCTGCTGTGGCTCTTGCCTGGACTTCCCAGTCCGTGGTGAACGTCAGTGTACAGGCTCTGCCCAGTGCCAGAAGCTTTTAGGAGCTCCAGGAAGAACAGGCCTAAACCTCAGCTGCTCCTTGTATTTAAATTTAGCTCTTTGAGTAACATCAATTTCCTTCAGTATGTTAGGGTTGAATTTGAAGGATACCATTCTTAAAGAACTAAATGGAGATTTTCCAGGACAGCCCAAGTTTACTATATGAACTGGCTCAGGCATTGAACCTCTGAGACATGCTGCAGATGAGGATAAAGATGGTGGAATAGGTTTTATTACACCACCATTTCTGCATTCCCTTTATTGTTTTCTTTAAGTGAGGAAGATGTTCTGAAGTAATAAGCAAATTTCTTACCTTTACATGTTCATACTGATGTAATGAATTTTTGGTTTAAATCAGAAAAAGTGGTCAAACTTAAAGCCGTACTGAGGGGTGGAGAATTGCACAGTGTTATAGCATATTGGATGTATGTGTTCACACAGGAATTTGGTTTACTGTTTTGTAAATAAAAGGAAAAACTTTGGGTATATGTAAACATTTTTACATGATGGACATCTTTGCTTTTCCTGAGCCTTAGGAGAGGTAGAAAGCTGTTTTCTGTTTGTGAGATCTATCACTGGAAACATAACCCTACAATCTCCAGAGGAAAGTAAATCCTCTTTGGCTTTCTCATTGATAGTGTGGTCTTTTCTTGACTCTGCTGTTCTGCCGCTTTGCTCCCACAAGACAACCAGGGACCAGGTGCAACATGGAAGTGTTTTCACTTCACAAGGAGTGGAGGACATGTATCTAACCTTAGAACTCCTGGAACTTGACCCTCTTAATACCTCTCCACTCTGCTCCTCAGTGAAGCTTGGATGTCTCATGAGCATGCTACCCTTTGAATTTTCAGGCAGCTGTTGCAAAGTTCTGTCATCTTTTCCTGGGACTTTCCTCTGCCTCATTCATGGTCTCCTACCCTTTCAGAAAACAACTGAGTTCTGGAACTTGGGCACTGTTTTGCATAAGGCAGCATGATATTCCTATGTTAATATTCCGGAAACACTGAGGGTCAACATAGTTGAGCTAAAATGACTAATAGCAAACAGAATGCTGAGAACAGGGGTCAACTCCTATGGAGCTTAACCACTACTATTCTTCCAAGAATGGAAAGTAAAGTTAATTTTTCACAGAAGAAAAATGATGAAAGTGAAAAACATTGGCATGGACACCGAACAAAAGGCTTCTTATAGAACCTGCCTTCAAAGACAATGAATTTTCCAGTGAAATAAATGATAACAGTGGCTAATGCATAGCTTCTAAACTTATTCAGATTCTGGCCTTCACAAAAATATATGAATGGGACCTGGACACAGAACCTGAGGTTTAAAAATGCTGGTGAAATGATCAGCTTTCGGAGAGATATCCTGACTACGCTCCAGCAACAGCCTGAAAGAGGCAGCTAGGAATGACCTTTAAGAAAATGGTGAAATACAAGTTGGACAGCAGTAAATGGAAGGAATCGGACATCCTCCCCAACTTATAGGGGTTTTGAAGCCTAGCTTTGAGGCGGTTACAGTTGTTGCCTGTTCCTCCTGTATACCTACAGCCACTAAAAGATCGAGAAGGCATTGGACTATGGGACTAAAAGGGAGCTTAGAGGCAATAAACAGAAAATACACCCAGCAATATCGCAGAGAAAGGTCCCAATCCCTTTGCTTTTCCAGGATGTGACTTTGTGCTGCCTGAACATTGTATCAGACCTGCTATCCTTCCTGTGATCCCCCTTTCCAGCAGACTTATAAAGCACCAGCAGGAATGGCCTTGTGGAAATAGAGAAAATGAAAACTTTATTGACTCTTGATAGATAGCATGATTATTTATAAAAACAGATGGAAATAGCCTGTACCCTCAACTGGGGAAAAAAAAAATAAGAGAAATCGGGACTCAATTTATGGCAATAAGTCCTCTTGATCCTGCCAGTTGTTCCTATGTGATTGCAGTATATTTTTTCTCTAGCAGTGGACTCCAGGTGCCAATGACATGCCAGGCACTGCAGATATAAAGGTTGCTTAGACATTCCCTATCTTTACAGAGCGGCAAAGGAAGACATGGAAATAAGGAAGAGATTCTACTGGGCATGCAATAAGGGTACAAAGACCACCCTACCTGAGGAGATAAGGCAGGATGTTATCACAGGAGAAGCGACCCTACACGAAGTCTTAAACACTAAGAAGGCTGCTTCAGGCCAAGGACACAGGCACGGAACAGCATTGGGACATTAAGGAACTACACATAATTCACTGGAATGAAAGGGGACTTAGCCAGACATGAGGCTAGATGGAAAGACAGGTTCAATGTAAGCACTTTATAAAATACTTATATTTAAGTTACAGTTCAATTAAGCAAACTTTTCTTGGTTGTTTACTGTGTGCAAGTAACAATGCATCGTTGAAAATTTGCCGAAACGCACCCCCAGCACTTTGCAGGCAGGACATGACTGAGCCTCAAGCTTTCCAGCAGCCAAAGGGAACTGCTGACTGCTCTTCAGATAGTGGACTTGAGGATTTGTGATATGATCAATGAAAACTATGATCAATGGGATTTTCACAGAAGTAGGCCACGGAGTCAAGAGTCTCTTAGGTTTTCTCAACTCTGAGAAAGAAAAACAGCAATTTGGAAGACCAGGAGAAGACTGCCCCTTCAGTGTCCTGTCAAACACTGTTGGGACTGGGCAGAGGACCCTGGGGATTAGTCTCCCCAGCCACTCCCAGACTCCAGCCACACACTCATCATTTCATGGAACATAAATGAGGTAGCACTTCAGAGTTCCAGAGTAAGTCATTTCCTTTCCCATAAATGCATGAAGGTAGAGTATCAGAATCTTCTAACACTGTATTTGTAAGGTATTGGGGATTTTTCAGGACATGGAGAATTGAGAAGGTGTGGGTATTACAGCTTCAAATTTTCAGTTGATATTTTAAAAAATCAGGAGGCTCTGTTCATTCAGGTTGTGCACTATGTACACGGCCAAGAATGAGCAGATACCCTTTGCATTTGAAAACATTTTGTGCTGTAAAAAAGTAATTTTAAGAAAACCACCCGGTTACATATATATATATTTAAAGACAAGGTTTTGATACTTTTTTTTACAAAAAAAAGGGGGGGGGGAGGTAAACAAATACCTGTACAAACCATGTACTTTTAAAAATACTGTTTTTGTTCCACAAGAGCTATTGTTAATATGGGGGGGTACCATTACTGCTTTGCAAACTTCACCTTCACACACTGTACCCAAAGGGGTTTCCCTTGTTTGTTTCCTCCCATCACCCAAGTTACTGTATTTGATGTTAACAGTCAGGCATGTGAAAATGTTGGGTCATGCTAAGCATTTCTGTTCTTTCCGTCTCATCGTTCCCAGTTCCGTTAACGTCTCTACTCGATACCCTTTGCAGTCTGGCTTCCCTTCCAGAAACCAAGGGGCTGGGCTGGCAGGGGGACACTGCATCCCCCTAGCTGCACTGACATCTTGGTGGACTGAAAACCAAATGTGGACATTTGTAAGATCCATGCACTGTTTTTAGAGAGATTAAATTCATTTTTTTAAATCTTAAGTCTTGTTTCATTGTGATGCTTCAAGTAGGAAGGATGAACTCTGATTGAATCCCTAGTATGTGCCAGGTGTTTTACATAGTTTATCTCATGTTTTGTCAACAATCCTGAGAAACAAATACTATCTACTCACATATTATAGATGAGGACATGGGGCAGGCAACTACCCAAAGTCATAGGCCCTCAAAGAACAACTGCACACATAACATTATCTGCTTTGATTACACTCTGCTACTGTTTGGCTCACTCTGGTGGTCTTTTAGTCCTCCACTTACATAATGCCTTCCATATTCTTTTAGGCTGAGCTAGCCAGCTCAACTCTGCTTCCACAGTAGTTTCTGCCTGCTTGCTTCGATGCTTGTGCCTTGCCAAGCCACTCCCATGCCACCCAGACTGCTTTTACCAAGGCCAGGCAGGTTCTCCTTGATTATCAATCTTGTAATCACTTCCAGTCCTTATTTTCTTCTGCTTGGAGCAGGCATTTGTTGGCCACTCCTCTCTTCTAATGCTCTTATTCTGGCTTTCCTGAAGCCATATCCCTGGCTTCCTTGTTCCTCCCACCTCTGGCCACTTCTTGGTCACCATTATGAATTATGCTAATACTTATCAGATTTTCATACGTGATTTTTTTCAAAGAGTTTGTGCAGAAATCAAATTAGAAGATATGTTTTGGAACCCAAAAAAATGTCAAATCCATATAGAGTTTTGTCATGATACTCATTTCCCATGAACTTTTTGAAGACTTCATACTTCTAATCCTATTGCAACCTACAATACTGCTGTCAAAGTGACCTTCCAGAGTGCTGGTTTGAGTCCTGGCTACTCCTTTTCAGATCCAGCTCCCTGCTAATGCACCTGGGAAAGCAGAGATAAAATGCCCCGAGTCCTTGGGCCTCTGCAATCCACATGGGAGGCTTCTGGGTGTCATAGCCATTTGGAGAGTGAACCAACAAATGATGAAAGCTACTTCTCTCCTTCTGACACTCTGCCTTTAACTATTTTTTTTTATTATTATTTTTAAAGTTCTTGGCTTGGAACAGTAGCCTAGCGGCTAAAGTCCTTGCCCTGCATGCACCGGGATCCCATATGGATGCCAGTTCATACCCTGGCTGCTCCACTTCCCTTCCTGCTCCATGTTTGTGGCCTTGGAAAGCAGTTGAGGACAGCCCAAAGCCTTGGGACCTTGCACCTGCGTGAGAGACCCAGAAGAAGCTCCTGGCTCCTGATAGCTCCACTCAGGGAGTGAACCAACAGATAGAAGATGTTTCTCTGTCTCGCCTTCTCTGTAAAAATCTGACTTTCCAATAAAAAGAAATAAACCTTGTAATCTTTTTTTAAGTTCCAGAGAGGGAGAGACAGAGATTTTCTATCCACTGGTTCCTGCCCCCAAATGGACACAAACATCAGGGCTGGGCTGGTCTGTTAGCTGGCCTCTTCCAGGTCTGCTATGTAGGTGCAGGGGCACGAGTATTTGGGCACTCTTCCAGTGTTTCCTAGGCACATCAGCAAAGAGTGGGATCAGAAGTAGTGCAGTAGAGACTCAAGCTGGCACCCATAGGGGATGTTAGTGCCACAGGTGGAGGCTTAATAAGCCATGCCACGATGCCAGTTCTTAAACCATTATAAAAAATTCAATATTCTTGGCTTTGCCCATTCTGCCCCTTCTCAAACATCACCACTCACCATGTTATCACTCAGTTCTTAGTGATTTCAATTTGAAATGTGTCCTGTGGAAGACTTCCTTGAGGCCCTAGCTTTGAGTGGGAACCACCATACACCTCCAAGCCTGGTCTTCCCCTGATGATAACCTGAATCTCTACATTGCAAATGCTTGGCAACTGTTGACTTGCTTTCCCTGCAAGCTCTATTCATACTTGTCTTGCTCACCAATGTATCCCTGTCACAGGTAAATGCTGTGATTTAGAAATTAGCTTGGAAATCAAATGCCCCTCAAAAAAGTTCATTTGCTCAAGGCTTGGTCCCCAGGGTGGCACACTGTTGGCAGGTGGTGGAACATTAGTCCAGCTAACCTGGTAAGGAGTCCTTGTGTGACTCTTGGGTTCCCCTGTGAGGGTTGTTAGAAATGCTTGGGTCGGGCCCGGCGCGGTGGCGCAAGTGGTTAAAGGTCCTTGCCTTGCACGCCCGGGATCCCATATGGGCACCGGTTCTAATCCCGGCAGCCCCGCTTCCCTTCCAGCTCCCTGCCTGTGGCCCGGGAAAGTGGTCGAGGACAGCCCAAAGCTTTGGGACCCTGCACCCGCGTGGGAGACCCGGAAGAGGCTCCTGGCTTCGGATCGGCATAGTATCGGCCCGTTGCGCTCACTTGGGGAGTGAACCATCGGACGGAAGATCTTCCTCTCTGTCTCTCCTCTCTGTATATCCGCCTTTCCAATGAAAAAATAATAAAAATAAATCTTAAAAAAAAAAAGAAATGCTTGGGTCTTCGCCAAGCCCACTTGACAAAGTTGTGAACTTTGAAAACTGTGAGCTAAATAAGCCTGTTCTCTTTATAAAATTAGTTACCTCAGGGATTTCATGACAGTCACAAAAGGCTGACTAATATGGTAGATGCTCCATAAACTAAGTCAGAATTCAAGCACTGCAGACACACATACAGGACTCAGCTATGCCATGTCTCTCTCATACTACTCAAAACAAACCTGTATGGCTTTACAGATTGCAGTCAAGTGTCCCTTCAGTATCTCATCACCTTAACCTTGTGGTGATTCCTGACGCCCCCTCAAGTACATTCAGGACTGAACTACAACTACCTCAATATTATTGGAGTGATTCAGAGAATAAGCAGAAGTCAGTGACTCAGCCTAGTGACTTCCTGTGTGGTGATTGCTCCCCTTCTGTCATTTAGAAATAAAATCCCTATTATTATTCTTATCCAATTTTCTGTAATAAAAATGCCAATGGTTTTGTAACCATTGAAAGAAATTGCAATCAGGGGCCCAGCATGGTGGCCTAGCAGCTTAAGTCCTTGCTTTGCACGCGATGGGATCCCATATGGGTACTGGTTCTAATCCCAGTGGCCCCGTTTACCATCCAGTTGCCTGCTTGTGGTCTGGAGAAGCAGTAGAGGATGGTCTAAGGCCTAGTAGTCCTGCACCTACATGGGAGACCTGGAAGAGGCTCCAGGATCCTGACTTTGGTTTGGCTCAGCTCCTACCATTGCGGTCACTTGGGGCGTGAACCACCGGAGGCAAGACCTCTCTCTCTCTCCTCTCTGTATATATGACTTTGCATTAAAGATTAAAAAAAATTGCAATCAGTTCATCTACTTACAGCAAACCACTATCACACTAGAAACTATCTTGCCCACATCACTGGAGACTCCCCACTCCCCAGCCCCACACTACTCGCTGCTTGCAGTGCTTTTTTTCAGAGAGAAAACAACTGTTCCGGGTGGTCGGTATGGGAATCTGAGACTCGGGTCCTGATTCGCAGCACAGCACCAGGGGTGAGGCCATCCCAGCAGTCTAGAACCATCCTCTGCCTGACGGAGTGGACCTTAAGGGCCTCAAACAGGCCTACACGAGGATTTTAACTGCCTTTGGCCCACTCAAGTGAGACGTTTCTTCCACAGCCAGTAAGTCTTCCACTTTGGTCTGAAGTCAGAGCAGTGCTCCATAGCCCACACTCACCTGAGAACTTTACCAAAAAACGGAAGAGCCACCAGTCAGGTACACCTTAAGAAGTTTCCATTCGTGCGGGGTGGAGCCCGGGCATCAGTCATTTTTTAGAGGTTCCATGATCATGTGATTCTGGCACGGTCTGGAATGGCTGTGGAGGTAAGTGCTGGAACTGAGAGGCGGGAAGGCAAAACTTCCCGTCACCTTCTGCTCATAGCACCCACACCTCCAGAGACAAGCGACAAAGAGGCAGGAAGGGCTGAGGGGCGCAGTGTGGGCCAGGCAGTCCCCGCGGTGGGTTCGGGGGGAAGGTGCGCCGGGGGACCATCGTCCTACATCCGCCGATGACACACCGGCGCCAAGGAGGGCGAGGGTGGGTCGTTTTCACAGAGATTGGACGCAGGGCTCGGGGGTTTTCGGCTGTAGGTCGGAGCCCACACCTCCGCTGGCAAACTCAGCCTCTTGCCTCAGCCAGAACGCACACCTGCCGGCAAAATTCAGCCTCCGCTGGGTTCCAGAGGGAGGGGCATGGCTTTCTGCTCCGCCTCCGATAAGGGGGCGTGGCAGCTGCGTCCCCGCCTCTGGCTTCAAGCTAAGGCGCTGCCTTTGCGTCACTTCCGCGCGCCGACAAACGTCATCGCCGGATGCCGAGCGTGGTGGTGAGGTTAGCTCTAGAAGTTGGTTGGTGACCGATTTCTGCGAGCCATGGAGAGTGACTTTTACCTACGCTACTACGTGGGCCACAAGGGCAAGTTCGGCCATGAATTCCTGGAGTTTGAGTTCCGACCCGATGGTAAGCACTGGGCTTAGGCCGGGTGGAGAGTGCAGCGGCCGTAGGGACTTCGGTGGAGTGATTTTTCCCCCTGTTAATACAGAATGCTTAAATCCAGCAATTATTTATTAAACACCCACCTGGAGGAAGCAGCAACCAAGGTAGATCAGTGCCCCCTGTGCTGGAACTCGCGTGTTAGTGCTGGGAGAAGGATCGAACACAGAAAAGATGATTCCAGATGAGTGGTCAGAGGATAAAGCGTCGAGGTGCCGGCGCGGTGGCTCAACAGGCTAATCCTGATAGATTGGGGAGCACTGTTGTCAGGGGTGACAAAACAGCCTGTGAAGTGCTGTAGGGTCGCGGAGGGGCAGAGAAGGGGACCGGGTCATCCTCTACGGCTTTCCCAGATGAGCAGGGAGCTGGATGGGAAGTGGGACAGTCGGGACACGAACCAGCGCCCATAGGGATGCTGGCGCTTGCAGGCAGAGGATTGGTTTGTACGCCACCACTCAGTCCTGGCCTCGCATATTAAAGTGTTAGAGTAACTAATCAGACAGATCTGTTACAACACTGCCTTTTCCATTATGTGACCAGAAAGCAGTGTAGAAAAACAACGTAAAAGCTGGTGGGAAAAGTGTTCTCTTTTTACTTGTATGTTTTCTGCAAGAGAAAAATCCGTGACTTTTCTTTTGTGTTCTCTGTCCAACTAGCCTGTTGGCTCTGCACATAGGGCTTTGCGTTCCCAAAGTGTTCAGTGATGGAAGCTCAGCTTTTCCATCACAGGGACAGATCAGAGTGTCACACAATCACGGGATCATGTATGTGAACAGCTTCCTGCAGTTTTCAGAATGCTCATTTGTTCATCACCATCTATGTATTCTGCTGTGGTTTAGCAGACTCCTAAGAACCTGTCTGTCTTTTCACTACATCTGAGCTAGCTTTTGCAAGAACTGTAGTTCAGCGTCAGCTGCATTGCTGATTTTCAGGCTGTTTACTACCCGGAAGTGAAGAACTGAATAGTATTTTAATTTTAAATGATTTTTTAAAAGATTTATTTATTTATTGGAAAGTCAGATATACAGAGAGGAGACAAAACAGAGAGGAAGATCTTCCGTTCGATGACTCACTCCCCGATGCTATGCTGATCCGAAGCCAGGAGCCAGGAACTTCTTCCGGGTATCCTACACGGGTACAGGGTCCCAAAGCCTTGGGCCATCCTCGACTGGTTTCCCAGGCCACAAGCAGGGAGCTGGATGAGAAGTGGAGCTGCCGGGATTAGAACTGGCGCCCATATGGGATCCTGGTGTGTCCAAGGCGAGAACTTTAGCTGCTAGGCCACGGCGCTGGGCCCCTGAATAGTATTATTATTAGCAACACCTGAGGTATAAATAGGAAATCTATTAGACATTATGAAGAAAATTAGGAGATGTTTTAAGCGATAACTGTTAATATTGATAACTTAATGATGCTTCTATGTTTATTGTGCATTTAATTTTTCCTCCCACACAGGGAAATTAAGATATGCCAACAACAGTAATTACAAAAATGATGTCATGATCAGAAAAGAGGTATGAATCATTTGCTTATGTTGTTTCTATTTCTAGGAGTACTAGATGAAACAAAGAGTAGCAAAGTAGGAAACTGTGTTTTAGATATTTCTAGATTATTTTGTCTCTCTTTTTAATGCTAAATCTGGTACAGATAACCATTCAAAGTAAGTGTTTGGTTTAATCTCTGGCACATAGCAGTCAGTATAGAATCACTTAACTTACATTTGAAAGGGAAAATATTTAACATCAAATGCATATTAGATGGCATGCATGACACTAGATATTTTATTTACACATATAATTTTATAGACGTATTTTATTTTTATTACAAAGTCAGATATACAGAGAGGAGGAGAGACAGAGAGGAAGATCTTCTGTCGATGATTCACTCCCCAAGTGAGCACAACGGCCAGTGCTGCGCCGATCCAAAGCCAGGAGCCTGGAACTTCTTCTAAATCTCGCATGTGGGTGCAGGATCCCAAGGCTTTGGGCATCCTTGACTGGTTTCCCAGGCCACAAGCAGGGAGCTGGATGGGAAGTGGAGCAGCCAGGATTAGAACTGGCACCCATATGGGATCCCAGCATGTTCAAAGCGAGGACTTTAGCCGCTAGGCCACAGCGCTGGGCCCTACACATATAATCTTATTGAACCTTAATTGTAAGCCTCTGTGATAGGAAGTACATTATCCCCTTTACAAATAAGAAAATGAAGACCCGGATATTAATTTCAGTACTTGTTCAGAGTCATCCCTGCTAATGAGAAGTACAGCAGGAACCCAGAGCTCAGCAGATGAATGAAATCCGTCTGCTCTGATTTGTGCCACACACGCCATTAAGGCGTCATGAAAGCTGCTGTCACATCTGAAAATGTCTTAGCAGTCTGTGTGTTTTCATACTACCTAACAGTTGATTTTTATGGTTATTTACACTCAGCATCACCTGCCTCAGCTCCTTGGAAGCATGTTTCCTCAGTAACAATTTCAGAATATGGGGTCTCTTAGTCTGTGTTGTGCTGCTGTCATAAGATGTCTGAGATTATATAATGTACGAACAATACAAGCTTCTTTCTCACAGTTTTTGGGAGCTGGGTTCCAAGACCAAGGTGCTGATAGGTTCAGTAGCTGATGAGGTTGCTTCCACGTTGGCACCTTGTCACTGTGCCCTCCTGTGTCAGGACTGGAAAGACACCAGCTGTTTCCCTTGAGTTCTTTTATCTGGTACTCATCCACAAGGCTCTGTCATGATGGCCTAATCACCTCCTAAAGGCCCTGCCTCTTAATGCTGTTGCTTAGAGGGTAATGTTTTAGCACGGGATTTGGAGAGGAGTCAGCATTCAGACGGCAACAGGTGATAGGCACAGACCAGATCTTGTTGTGGGTTCAGAGGCGGGCAGAGATGATCCTTGTAAACAGATAGGCCAGGAGTTGTGTCACGACTGCATGAGGAGGTGATGAGCAGGCAGTGGGTATTTCTGGCATGTCCCTCTTCTGAGCATACAGAAGCCATGCACATGTCTTCCCTCATACCACAAGTAAGTGTTCATGTTCATCTTTGGTCACTCTGTGAGCTGGAGTACTGCTATGGAATGCAGTCTTGAATTCTGCTTTTAACTCATTTTCAGGCTTATGTACATAAAAGTGTGATGGAGGAACTGAAGAGAATAATTGATGACAGTGAAATTACCAAAGAGGACGATGCTTTGTGGCCTCCTCCTGATCGAGTGGGCCGACAGGTAAGTTTTTAAAATAACTATGTTTAATGTAGATCTTAGAAACAAGATGAGATTGGCTGTTCTGCGTGTGACAGTGAATCCAGCTCTATGCACTGTGGGAGTTCCTGAGAGCCTTACATCAGCACCTCGGACCAAGAGAGCTTTATCCATGGAAAAAGAGCAGAGAGCAAGTAGTGTTCCTGGCCCACCAGAACCAGCCCTGAAATTCTTCCTGTGACTTCTCTCAGTTTTTGCTGCCCACCTCACTAACTATTTTGGACAAAGCATCATGGGATACAAAAATAAAGCCTTTTTTCAACAGTTGAATGGGAGAAAGATCATAGAAGCAACAAAATTATGTATTTCAATCCATGAAGTCCACTTTAGTAACTGAAAACTGAGAGGCACTGTCCTATTTTACTAAGTTAACACAGAGGATATTTCCACTTTGTACCATCCTATAACAGAATTCTAACTGATTTGCTTGCTTTGCTTTTTGACCTCACCTTGTAACCATTAACATCTTTAAAATGTATAGTTGCTTATATATTTTATTAACTTAAACTCCATGGTGGGTTCCCTTTGTTACAGTAAAGTCCAGACTGACACTTGATCTTCTACAGTTCTTGCAGTCTCTCACTTCAGACTTTACTAGCTTTATTTCTCTTCCTTGGGCACATCCAGATTCTTATCAGATAATTGATACTTGATGGACAATCCAATTCTGCTTGACTTCGATTTTATAAAAATGTTTCTAGGAACTTGAAATCGTCATTGGAGATGAACACATTTCTTTCACAACATCAAAAATTGGTTCCCTTATTGACGTCAATCAGTCCAAGTAAGTGTGTGTGATCTTTATGTTCAGTCAAGTCCCTTCTTTGCAGGGTGGAGGGATAAGAAAACCGATTTCGGACCATGATGGGAAGATCTGTTATAAAAACAAGACAGAAGAGGGCAGCTTGTCCTGATGCTTAGGAAAAGATTCCAAACTATAGTCATCCCACAGTATTTGCAGGGCCTTGGTCCCAGGATGCGCCTGCAGACATGAGTCTTCAGGGGCGCACATCTGTTAATATGGTGGCACAGTGTTTTCATATAACCTGTGCATACACCCTTCTGTCCTTGCAGTCATCCCTAGATTACTTACAATACATAACAATATTAATGCTATATAAATAGTCATCATGCCATTTGTTTAGAAAATAATGACCCCTCCCAAACCATCATAGGCCTAGCCACCATTTGAATCCTTAGTTGGTTGAACCTTGACTGGATTGAACTTAAGGATGCATAACTCACCAATTTGGAGGGCTGGCCATAGTCAAAGGTTTCAATATAGTTACTTTTGGTGTTCCATTTGGTAATTGCTACTAAGTGCTCCTCAATGACACATACAGAATAATACAAAGTGAAGTGTGCCAAGACAGATGTTCGAGATAAAATGCAGAATCACTGTCTGAACAGCTTTTCTAATGTTAACTATTGAGACTTGCACATTTGACTTTGGTGTGAAACTTGGAATATTTTAGAATATAAGACTGAAAATTCATTCTCTCTTTGGGGTGAACTATAATTGATACCTGAATGTATGATACAAAGTGCTCATAGAATGTGGCAGCCTCTTTGGCTCTTGTGTTTTAAAGGCTTGGATTTAGTTTTGGCTCATTTTGACTAAATGTTGGAACAGTCATCTTCTTTTAAATAGTCTCGTTGTTACCCAGTATTGCTGTAATAATTTTGAACCTCATAGTCCTGATTAATGCTACTTAAAAAAATTTCCTTGGGTGGATGTTATGAAGTAGGCTAAGCCACTGCCTACAGGAGACCTGCATCCCCCATCAGAGTACGTGGCTCAAATCCTAGCCACTCTGCTTCCATCGCAGCTTCCAGCTAATGAACCTGGAAGGCAGTTACCTGAGTCCTTGGATGGAGTGCCTAGCTCCTAGCTTAGGTGTGACCCAGCCCCAGCTGATTCTGGTATTTGGGCAATCAGCAGATGGTGGCTCACTCTCTCTACTTCGGCTCCTCCAATACTCTGCCTCTCAAATAAGATTTTGCTGACTTATTTTATTTTTCTGAAAGGCAACATTACAAAGAGAGGGAGAGAGAGAGATCTTTCATCTGTTGGTTTTGGATTGTCTAGGGCTGACCAGGCTGAAGCCAGGAGCTTCAACTCCCATGTGGATGCCAGAACCCAAGCATTAGGATCATCTACTGCTGCTTTCCCAGGTACATTAGCAGGGAGCTAGGTCGGAAGTAGAGCAGCTGAGGGATGCACTGTGTTGCTTACAATACCAGTGTCTCATAGGAGCACCAGTTCGAGTCTAGGCTGCTCTACTTACAATCCAACTCCCTGCTATTGCTCTTGGGAAGGCAACAGAGGGTGACCCAAGTGCTTGGGCCCCTGCATCCATAAGGGAGACCTAGGTAAGGTTCCTGGCTCCTGCTTTTGCCTGGCCACAGCCTGGTCATGTAGCATTTGGGGAGTGAGCAAATGGAAGGCCTCCCTCTCTGTAACTGTGACTCTTGGATAAAACGTTAAATCCTTTAAGAAAAAAAAAAAGGCAAGAGGAGCTCTGTCTTGAACCGGCATCTATATTTGGAATGCCATGTTACAACAGCAGCTTTACCAACTATACAACTCCAGCTCCAATAAATCCTTGAAAAAAAAAACTATTTTCCTAATTGTAAAAATAATACATGTTCTCTGCAGAAAACCCAGGATATGTAAAAAGAGATCGCCTATAATCTTATTACTTAGGGAACCATTGCTACTGCCTTGAAATGTTTCTTTTTAAGTATATTAATGCATTTTCCTTAAAGCACAAATAATTTAATGAAATCAACTGTTAGCCATGGGTTTTTTTTCATTTAATGTGATGTCAGCATTTCTACTTCTAGAAAAACAATATATTTAAATAACTTCATAATATTTAATATATAGCTTTTTCCTTTATATGTTAGATTGTTCAAAGTAAAAATATCATTACAAGGAACATGTTAGTTGATAAATAATTGGGGATATTTTGTGGTAAATGATGCCTGTTTTTTGCTCAGTTTTTAACTTTTTTCCCTCCTGTTATATTTTAGGGATCCAGAAGGCTTGCGAGTATTTTATTATCTTGTCCAGGATCTGAAGTGCTTGGTCTTTAGTCTCATTGGATTACACTTCAAGATTAAACCAATCTAGATCAAATACTGGTGTGGACATGAGGGGACAGAGTAGTTTTTAATTCATGTCAGGAGATTTTTCTGTATATCAGGGCATTTTTTTTTTATAAATGATAGATTATTGTCTTTAATAAATACGTGATAAAATACAATTTTTGTTATCTTATAAAAACCGGATCATGTGAATTCTTTTCAGCTACTTTGTAAAACATTCATTGGAATTTTACAAAACTAATCAACTTTAGATACAGCTATTTTATAGGAAACAAGAGAATAAAACATGTTTTTTAAAAAAAGCTCAAATAAACACTACCCAAAGAAAATTTCAAGTCCAGTAGTCTGGTTTCTTCAATATACAAAATGCAAGGGAAACACAATAGGATCCTATAAAGATTGAGGTAGTCAATACAATGTTTGAACTCCATTTGGATCATGATTCAGAAAATGTAAAGTGATCACCGTTAAAGAAATTGAATACTGGATATTTGATCATTTTAATAGGTTTGGTTTTTTTTTTTTAAAGATTTATTTTTATTATTTTTTTATTGGAAAGGCAGATATACAGAGAGGAGAGACAGAGAGGAAGATCTTCCATCCGATGATTCACTCCCCAAGTGGCTGCAACAGCTGATGCTATGCCGATCCGAAGCCAGGAGCCTCTTCTGGGCCTCCCACGCGGGTGCAGAGTCCCAAAGCTTTGGGCCGTCCTCGACTGCTTTCCCGGGCCACAGGCAGGGAGCTGGATGGGAAGCAGGGTTGACGGGATAGAACCGGCGCCCATATGGGATCCCGGCGTGCAGGGCGAGGACCTTAACCACTTGCACCACCGTGCTGGGCCCAATAGATTTGGTTTTTAGAAGTCTCACCTATGCCCTGGACAAGACCGGTGAAAAAAAAAAGTACTCAGTAATGTAGCATGGGATGGATAACCCAGACAGGAACCCAGAGGAACACGCACAAGGGAAGTGGCCTATCGTAGCACCACAGTGGGAAGGAGGTAAACATGAGCAACCCTCAGAGAGAGGCCTCTTTAAAATAGTGGAGTACAATGATAAAGGTAAAAGAAGAGACAGAGTACAGTCCCCTTTAAAATAGTGGAGAGGAATTTTAAATGCCTAGGAATTAAGCTAACTAAATATGTTGAAGACCTCTATGATGAAAACTATAAAACATTAAAAAAAAAAGAAATAGAAGACCTTAAAAAAATGAAGAAACTTACCATGTTCCTGTATTGGCAGGATCAACATTATCAAAATGACCATATTACCAAAAGTAATATACAGATTCAACGCAACCCCAATAAAAATCCCAACAACATTCTTTTCAGAAATAGAAAAGATGACACAAAAGTTCATCTGGAAATCAAAAGACCACGAATAGCCAAAGCTATCCTGAAAAATAGAAATCAACCTGGAGGAATCACAATTCAGACCTCAAGACATACTACAGAGCAGTGGTCATCAAATCAGTCTGGTACTGGTACAGAAACAGAGAAGGTCAATGGAGCAGAATAGAAACACCAGAAGGGAGCCCACACATGAATAGTCAACTAATCTTTGATAAGAAAACTGAAAACAATCCAGGCAGAAATCTTGGAAATGAACAGGCATTTTTCAAAAGAACACATTCAAATGGCTAACAAACATATGAAAAGATGCTCAGGCTCCTTAGCCATCAGAGGGGTACAAATGAAAATTACAGTGAGGTACCACCTAACTGCAGTGAGACTGGCCTACATTCAGAACTCAACTAACAACACCTGCTGGTGTGGATGTGGGGGGAAAGGCACCCTCCTTCACTGCTGCTGGTGGGAGTGTAGGCGTGTATAGCCACTGTGGAAATCAGTATGAAGAGTGCTTGGAGAATTGCAAATAAAGCTGCCATATGACCCAGCTATCCTGCTCCTAGGAATATACCCAATAGAAGTGAAATCTGCATATGAGAAGGGGATCTGCAAACTTATATTTGCAGCAGCACAATCCACAATAGCAAAGACATGAAAACAATCCAGATGTGCATCCAAAGAAGAGTGGTTAAAGAAATTGTGGCACATCTACTCCATGGAATATTGTTTGGCTATTAAGAAGAATGAACTTACACTATTTACAACTAGGTGGTCCCAACTAGAGACCATTATGCTCAGTGAAATAAGTTAATCATAAAAGAACAAATATCATGTGTACTCTCTTATATACAGAAATCAGCATGGAAAGTGTAACTTCAATAATCTGACCCATATGGATGTGTTCCGTGTGTTTTGATGTTTTTTATTTCAGTTTTATTTATTCCAAATACTTTCTTTTCTCCTGTCGAATTCATCGCTGGCTCATGGATTACACGGTGGCATCATTTTCCCAGAGACTTTTGTGTTTCCTTTGTCACCCATGTGTTGGTCACTCGGTGGCGTATTTTTAATGTTACTGTAATTTGTTGTTGTTGTGGCTATTGCTTTAATTCATACCAGTTGTTGACCTTGTTTCATGGCTTCTCATTTATGGAAATGTACAGTGATGGGGTACTGGGATGTACCATATCGAGATTCGGAGGTATAATGCAACATGCATCCTTGCTTCCAGATGAAAGATGGATGGGATGGTGGACTGCTTGACATTGTCTGTACCAGCAATGTCGGGGCACACTCACTTAAGAGACTGACAGAATTATGAGTCCTTATGAAGGACTATACCATTGTAGTAAAATGGCTGCTCAGAGCAATCGGGTTTCGCCTGGGACCAGCAGACAGCCGTCGCCGGCCAGCCACGAACTCCGCCCTCAGCACTCGAGGCCCCGCCTCCTCCTTTCCCTAGCTCCGCCTCATTCCTTGAAGCCCCGCCCCTGTCGAGCCCCGCCCCCGCCCTCACCACTCAAGGCCCCACCCCGCCATTCCCCCAGTACCCGATCCATCACTCGAGGCCCCGCCCCCGCCGTTCCTCGGGCCCCGCCCCCGCCGTTCCCCGGAGTCCTGTCCCGTCTTCTACGACAGGCCGAAAAGCAGCGGCGGCCGATCGCGCCGGACAGAACCGGGCCATCATGGGGGTAAGGAAGCAGCAGTCCGCCCTGGGGACTCGGAACGGGAGGTGCCGGGCGTCCGGGGGATGCAGGGTCTGGCGCTGAGCGAGCGGGAGGCGCCGGGCCGCGGCTGACGCCTCGCTGTGGCTCACCCTTCCCTCAGAAAATCGCGCTGCAGATCCGAGCCACGCTGGAGAACGTCACCAACCTGCGGCCAGTGGGCGAGGACTTCCGCTGGTACCTCAAGGTGCGAGGGGCGGGGCTGAGCGGCTTCCGGCGACGCGAGTCATTGACCAGACTTACGGATTCCGTCTTAGGGTGGTTAGGATTTTGCATTTGCTTTTTCAAGTTTGTTAGTCTTCATTTTTTATAAATTGCAACTTTTTGTAAAAGATTTACTTGTTTCTATATGGAAAGGCAGATTTTACAGAGAAAAGGAGCGATAGAGAAAGATCTTCCGTCTACTGCTTTACTCCCCAAGTGGCTGCAAAGGCCGCAGCTGAGCTGATCCGAAGTCAGAAGCCAGTATCTTGCGGATCTCCCACGCAGGTGCAGGGTCCCAAGGCTTTGGGCCGACCTCTGTTAGAGTGTGGGTAAAATGCTATTGTTGGGCAGTGTGAGGTTCCCTTGTGTAGAGAAAACTGCTACTTTGCTAGGCCAGGAGGCGCCTGGACTTTGGGAGGATTCTGCTTCAGTGATAAATCTGTTCTTTGCTGTCCTACAAGTTTGTAAACCCAGGTGCAAAAAAGGCAAGAGCACAATTCTTCTCCGGTCCCCAAAACGGGATAAAGATAAAGGTGTAAAAATAAAATGAGCCATGTAAATAATGGATATAGAAACAGAACAGACTGCCTGTGCCTGAAGGCCATAAAAATTAACATGTCTAAGGTTGTTACTTTTGATGTATTTCCCAGCCCCAAAGGGCCTATATAAGCTTCTGTCTTGGGCTGTTTGAGGTCCGACCGCCCGCTTAGCTGGCCTGTGTGCCCCAAGTGCGGCAGCTGGCCTGTGTGCCCAAGTGTGGTCTGACCCCAGCATGCTGGCGAAATAAACTGTTTGCTGTTTGCATTACCAGTGAGACTCTTTGTCGCTCTCTGGGGGTTGACTAGCTCGCACCCTGATGTCCCGGGGCTTTAGCCCAGACTCTAACACCTCCATTGCTCTCCTAAGCAGGGAGCTGGAAGGTACGTGGAGCAGCTGGGATACAAACTTGCACCCATATAGGATGCCAGCACTTGCCTATAGAGGACTAGCCAATTGATCCATCGTGTCTGGACTGCTGTTTTTTGGGGTTTTTTTTTTTTTTAATGTAAGACAAAGGTAATTTACTCCAGGGCAGGGCCAGACCAAACGTGGTGACAGGGGAACCAAGGAATTGAATGTTCCCCTGCTGCTTCCCAGGGTGGGGTCAGCCAGCAGCAGGCATCAGACTGTAGCCTGAGCCTTACCAGCGTTTGTCCCTGTTGGGTATTTTTTTTCAAAGGTTTATTTAATTTTTATTGGAAAGGTGGATATACAGAAAGGAGGAGAGACAGAGAGGAAGATCTTCCATCCGATGAGTCACTCCCTAAGTGACCACTCCCCAAGTGACCGCAACGGCTGGAGCTGAGCCAATTTGAAGCCAGGAGCTCTTCCAGGTCTCCCACACAGGTGCGTGGGACCAGGCTTTGGGCCGTCCTCGACTGTTTTCCCAAGCCACAAGCAGGGAGCTGGATGGGAAGCAGGGCCATCGGGATTAGAACCAGCAAACATATGGGTGCAAGGCGAGGACCTTAACCACTACACTATCATGCTGGGCCCCCGTTGGGTATTTTTTAACTGACACTGTTGGAACTCTTCCTCCTACAGTATGTTCCACTGTTGGATATTTTGTCATCAGTAACCAGATACAACAGAATGTCCCTTGAAGGGACTGTGTGATGAGGAGGTTGCAGGTTTTCTCCATTTTTTCTTCTTGCTCGTGTTTTCCTTGTGGTGAAATGGTTTGGATTCTGTTCGGAAGCTCCCAGACAGCTCCCTGTCACATTGGAAGATCTGGTTCCTGTTAGGTTTTAAACACACAGCCAATTCCTGCAGTTAAGTCCTTTTACCTTAGGCCCAGAACACCAGACGCTGTGGGTAGGAACAGGAAGGGGTTGGTGGGAGAGTGAGAAGGGACGTAGATTGGTAAGTGAGCAGGCATTGGGGAAGGGGCTCGGGAGAGCTCGGGGTGTGGGATTCTCAGGTGAGATGCCAGGTTACATCTGACTGGTGGATAGATGGACTGGCGTGAATTTCATGAGCTGTGAGGAGGAGGAAATGACACCGGGCCCAAGGTGGCAGGGTCTAGGTCTCCATGATGACATTTGAACCACTCCTCACATTGCTTCCTTTTACTATATATAAAGGAAAAGGGGCATCAAGGGGGCACTGTTGTCTTCTATAGCTTCTTCAAGCACTTTGAGCACAGTATTCTGTAGTCACTGGTCTCCTGGTGGTTGGGGGAGGAATGGGAGACTGGGAGAAGCTTGTAACCCTGCAAAAGAAACTGGATAGCAGTTTGGTTAATGGTTTTTTCCACTTGGGTGAGGAAAAATTTTTGAAAAAAATTGATGAGGCAAGGGGCCATGGCGCATCCTGCAAAAAATAATATCAGAGGGCCTGGCAGCATGTCCTAGCAGCTAAAATCCTCACCTTGAACGCGCCAGGATCCCATATGGGCGCCGGTTCTAATCCCAGCAGCTCCACTTCTCATCCAGCTCCCTGCTTCTGGCCTGGGGAAGCAGTTGAGGACGGCCCAAAGCTTTGGGACCCTGCACCCATGTGGGAGACCCAGAAGAGGTTCCTGGCTCCTGACTTTGGATTGGCATAGCACCGGCCGTTGCTGTCACTTGGTGAATGAATCATTGGATGGAAGATCTTCCTCTCTGTCTCTCCTCCTCTCTGTATATCTGACTTTCCAAAAAATAAATAAAATCTTAAAAAAAAAATAACCTCACAAAAGAGTAATATCAGAGGAGTGAGAAGAGGGGTAAGCATAGACATCAGAGGAGACTGAGCCCAGAAGAACCAGGAGTTACTATCAGTTCCAATTGTTGAAGGCGATCCTTGATGTCTAACAGGTGTTTAACATTTTGCTCGACTACCTCTGATTCATTAATGTAAAAACAATATTCCCCGTAGAGGAATATATAGGTGCCCCCTTTTCTGCCATAAGAAGGTCCAGGGCCCTTCTGATCTGATGGGAGTTATGAATCCAATAGGACATCCCTTCAACTTCGGCAGCCGTGGGCGTGGTCAGTATGACCTTAACAGGGCCTTGCCATTTGGGTGTGAGGGGTGAAGAGGGTGTGGAGGGGGAACAGTAGAGAACTAGGTCTCCAGACTGTAGGGAGGAACTGAGGGGTTGGGGTAAGGGAAGAAGTTTGTCTGCATGTAACCAAAGAAGGTATTGTAGATAAATTAAGAGGGGTGAGGAGGGATGGGTTGGTGGGTGTAGGTTCAGCAGCCAATGAGGGGAGTAAGGCTGGGCGACCATACATAAACTCAAAAGGGGATGTAAGTAATGGTATTTTGGGATGGGATCTTAGTCTCAATAAGACAAGGAGAAGTTGGGCCACCCAGTCTAGATGGAATTCTAGGATAAGCTTAGTGAGGAGAGGCTTTAGGGTCCTATTGGTACACTTAACCTTTCCAGATGACTTGGGATGTGGAATGCCACAGAATGTTTAGAACACGGCAAATAAATTGGGTTACTTGGGAGGTAAACTCTGGACCATTGTCAGGCTGGATGGAAGAGGGCAGACCAAAGCGAGGTATAATGTCTTTCAGCAGGGTGTCTGCCACTATCTGTGCCTTCTTGTTAGTGGTGGGGAAGGCTTGTACCCATCCTGAGAAGGTTTCAACTAACACCAGGAGATATTTAAACCTCTTGACTGTTGGCATGTGGGTGAAATCCACTTGCCAGTCAGTGACAGAAGTAGGTCCCCTGGCCTGGTGTGTGGGAAAGGCAGGAGGACAAAGGTTGAATATGGGGTTAGTCTTTTGGCAAGTAGGACAAGTTGTTGAGAAAGATTTAAGAAAGGAAAAGTCTAGATGAAAGTGACATGAATGTCTGGCTGTAGTGAATTAGGGTAGAGTTATGGGGATGGAAGAGATTGTGTAAGTACCTAAGAGTCTGCTGGACAGTGGGGGAATTGGAGTTTAACACTAATGGATCAGGATTGGAGGGAGGACAGGAAGGACGAGACAGAAGGAGGCTAAGGGTGGGAGGGTATCTGCTGTAACTAAGACCACGGTCCTCTAAGGCTGTTCCCAGGCTGCTGTATTGTGTGCCACAGGGATCTTGTTCTCACCCTCACAGTGGGAAGGCTGGTGTCATCCCGGGCCCCAGTACATCCTCGGTTTGCCTCCTTTAGCCTACAAAAAGCTGAATTTTCTAGGAGGTCACTTCTGACTGCTTGTTTCCAAATGTGGAGCCTGCCACATTCTAGGGCTTAACTGAGAAATCAGTGTTCTGCGACATCATGGAGCAGAAACTCCTGAACGAGACAGACAAATGAACAGGTGAACCAGGCTTGTGGTACCCTGGGTTCAGACACCACATGTGGCCCCAGCCTCCCACGTGGGAGCATCAGTTCAAGTCCCAGCTCCCTGCTCCGGTACCTGGAGCAGCAGAGGATGGCCCAAGTACTCGGGCTGCTGACAGCCATGTGGGAGACGGAGATGGAGTTCTTGGCTCCGGGCTTCTGCCTGGCCCACACCTGGCTATTGTGGACATTGGAGGAGTAAACCCAATGATGGGAAGATCTTGCTCTTTCATCCTGCCTTTCCTCTCTTTCTGTCACACAGCTTTTCAAGTAAATATCTTTTTTTTAAAAAAATGCTGTTGTACCAAATACTTCAACAAGGGGCCTACAGGGCCTATCAGATAGGCTGGAAGACCCTAACTGAGCAGGGTGGGTGGTGACCCGTTAGGGCCAGTATGTGCATGTGTAGCTGGACTCGCTGGCCAGGGTGGCACTTCTTAAAGAAGGATGGACATGTCAACATGAGAGATAACATGAGGCAAATCTGGTTATGAGGTCTCTATTGGGACCATTTGTGAGGATGAAGTGAATGGTTCAGCAAGGTAGGATGGGAGCCTGCCCCTTCCCTCTGAGGACACCTGAGCCAGCTGTTTTGACTTATCCTCTCTTTCTCTCCAAGATGAAATGTGGCAACTGTGGTGAAATTTCCGACAAGTGGCAGTACATCCGCCAGATGGTAACTGTCCCCACCTCCCTTCATACCTCCCCACCCCACACCCACTGGAGCAGTGCTGAGAGCCCAAACCCCAGGGAAGCCCTTGGTGGGGTCTCTGCAGCCTGCCCCAAGATCATGTTCTGGCAAGTCCCTCCTGCTTTGGAGGCTTGGCTCTAAGGATCCTTGCATACGATTTGTGAGTCAAGTTTCTGTTTGTTCTCCCCAGGACAGTGTGGCCCTCAAGGGAGGCCGAGGCAGTGCCTCCTCAGTCCAGAAATGCAAGCTGTGTGCTCGGGAAAACTCAATCGGTAGGTCAGGCTATGGATGCTGAGTTTGCCAAGCTGATCTGCAGTGTTTGGGTCCCAGATCGAAGGCAGCCTTGCATCATCAAGTGCCTATGCAGACAGAGCTCTTCTCTAAGGTCCCAGTTAGACACTTCTGTGGGTCAGGGGGCTGTACCAAGTCAGCGTTGTCTTCTCTTTTGTTGCAGGAATTCTGAGCAACACCATCAAGTCTTACAATGTAAGTTGGCTGCTACTGTGGCAGGTATTCAGTTTGACCTGGGATCCGGGAGGCCTGGTTTCTAGTGAGAGAGGCGTCATAGTGACAGTCATATATCATTCACTCAATCTGTCATTGAATCACCAACACTGAGTGCATGGTGGGGAAAAGACAGTTTAGGCAGAGCTTAGCATCATATTCAAGCAAGCTGAGCCCGGAATTCACTTGTTTTTTAAAATGGCTATAGACATATGAAAAGATGCTCAGGCTCCCTAGCCATCAGGGAGCTACAAATCAAAACCACTTTGAGATTCCACCTAACTCTGGGGAGGTTGGCCTACATTCAGAACTCTACTAACAACACCTGCTGGCTTGGCTATGGGGAGAAAGGTACCCTTCTTCACTGCTCGTGGAAGAGTAGGCTAGTACAACTGCAATCAGGGTCAGTATGGAGAGTGCTAAGAGGACGGAAAATACACCTGCCATAAGATCCCACTCCTAGGAATATATCCAAATAAATGAAATGTGCATATGAGAAAGGGTTCTGTAATCCTATATTTACAGCAGCACAGTCTGTAATAGTAAAGACATGGAAACAATCCAGATACCCATCCAGAGAGTAGTAGATAAAGAAACTGGTGCATCTACTCCATGGAATACTACTCAGCCATTAAAAAGAATGAAATTCTACCATTTTCAAGCAAAATGATCCCAACCGGAGACCTTAAGCTCAGTGAAATAAGTCAATCCAAAAAGAACAAATACCATATTTTCCTCTCTGATTTAAGGGCAACCTTCATGCAAACGGTAAGATCAGTAGCCCTTTCAATACTGTTTTTGTTGTAACTCATGGATTTTGATATTTTTGCTTTTATTTTCACTTCTTTAAAATAATTTCTTTTATTAAATTCTTTACTACTCATAGATCAAAAAAGTAAATAAATAAAAATGAAGAGCTGAGAAAGGCTGCTGGGTTTCAAACTAAAAAAAAAAAAAACAAAACCCAGTGTTCACTATTTTAAAACTGATGTTCTATAGTGATTGGAATTTTCTGATTTGGCAGTTGTTTTTAACTTAGAAATATCTCTTGGGGCCCAACACAGTGGCCTAGTGGCTAAAGTCCTTGCCTTGCACACACCAGAATTCCATATGGGCACTGGTTCTAATCCCGGCAGCTCCACTTCCCATCCAGCTCCCTACTTGTGGCCTAGGAAAGCAGTCGAGGACCCCCGAAGGCTTTGGGACCCTGCACCCATGTGGGAGACCTGGAAGAAGTTCCTGGCTCCTGGCTTCAGATTGGCACAGCTCTAGCCGTTGCGCTCACTTGGTGAATGAATCATTGGATGGAAGATCTTCCTCTCTGTCTCTTATCCTCTCTGTATATCTGACTTTGCAATAAAAATAAATAAATCTTTAAAAAAAATAGCTCTTGGATATAGTTGAACAAGTCACAACTAAAAACAAAAGATGGTTCTGTACTATCAGATCTTAAAAAATTAAAACAATGTTTGCTGCACACTGCAATAAAGAAGCAAGTTGATGGGGCGTGTTCCTTTCAGTGTATGAGGTGGTTAGGAAAGAGGTCAGATCACAGTGATTATGGAATATAATTCAGACTTTGTTCATGGCATATTTGATTTTTTTTTTAACTGAATGTGGTATTTTCTTTAACTTGTAACTGAAATTTCTTGCCATCAAGCTGTTTTGATTTCGTGATGATTTTTTAAAAAGATACATTTTATTTTTATTGGAAAGTCAGATATGCAGAGGAGGAGGAGATAGAGAGAGGAAGATCTTCCATCTGCTGATTCACTCCCCGAGAGCCTGCAACAACCAGAGCTAAGCGGATCTGAAGTCAGGAGCCAGAAACTTCTTCCGAGTCTCCCACACGGGTACAGGGTCCCAAGACTTTGGGCTGTCCTCGACTGCCTACTCAGGCCACAAACAGAGCTGGGTGGGATGTGGAGCTGCCAGGATTAGAACCGGCACATGCAAGTCAAAGACTTTACCACTAGGCTATTTCATGCTGGGCCCTAAATTTAATTTTTAAATTTTTATCTGAAAGGCAGGATTTTTAAAAGATTTATTTACTGTTATTGGAAAGTCAGATTTATAGAAAGAAGGAGATACAGAAAGATCTTCATCTACAGGTTCACTCCCCACGTTGCAACAATGGCCAGAGCTAAACTGATCCGAAGCCAGGAGCTTCCTTCTGATAGCCCACGTGGTTGCAGGGTCTCGAGGCTTTGGGCTATCCTCCACTACCTTCCCAGGCTACAATCTGGAAGCTGGATAGGAAGAAGAGCAGCTGGGACTCAAACTGACACCGATATGGGATGCCAGCACGAAAAGGCAGAGGCCTAGCTTACTGTACCATTGTGCTGCACCCCCCCCTTTTTAATTTTAAAAATTCATTTTATTTGGAAAGCAGACATAGTGAAAGACAAAATGAGAGGTTTTCCACCTACTGATTCTCTCCTTAAGTGGCTGCAATGACTAGAACTGGGCCAGGCCAAAGTCAGAAGCCAGGGAATTTCTGGCTCTTCCACATGGGTGCAAGGGGCCCAAATCTTTGAACTTTCCCGGGCACAATAGCAGGGAGCTGTATTGGAAGCAGACTAACTAGGATTTAAATCAGTGTCCATACAGGATGTGGGTACTACAGGTAATGGTTTAACTTGATAAGCCTCAATACTTGATAAGCCACAGATCCCTACAAATGCCAGGGCTGGGCCAGCCTGATGCCAGGAGGCTGGAACTCCACCTGGTGTCCCACATGGATGGCAGGAATTCAAGTACTTGAGCCCCCTTCTGCTGCCTCCTAGGGTGTATATTGGCAGGAAGGACTCAAACCCTGGCACTCCAATGGGCTGAGGGCATCCCAAGTGGTGGCTTAATCTCTGCACATAACCCCCACCCAGAATCCTGCTCTTTCCTCCACATCCAGCCTCGTGGGGAGCAGTCCCAGGGCAGACTTCTTTTAGAAAGGGGAAGAGTTGTTCCTGGGACTCACCCAGGTGCCCTGGCAGCCTGTTGGGCCTAACTTGGCGTATCTTCTTTTCCAGGCTGAAGACAATGAGAAGTTCAAAACCATAGTGGAGTTTGAGTGCCGGGGCCTCGAGCCAGTTGATTTCCAGCCCCAGGTGTGTGGTGTGTCTTTGGGGAGGGGCTCTATGAAGTAGCAGCAGAGCTCTGCTTCCTGCAGAGGCCAGGGACTGAGAAGTCCCCCTTGTAAGCCTAGTGATCATCACTCCTTAGGACCTGTCAAGCTGGGCACCATGTCCACCCCTTGTAGACCACTTGAGTCAGTCCTCACAGGAATGTAGTGAGGTTAGCCTGCTTTACAGGTGAGGAAAGAACATCAGAGATTCTGAGACTTGCCCAGGGTCCCACAGTTAGGGAGCAGTGGAACTGCAGTTTGAGCCCAGGTCTGTGTGATCCTGCAGCTGGTTAGTACCCATCCCTTACTATTTGTACTACATTTTCACCTCAGTAGATCCGCAAGATGGGCAGAAGAGAGGATACTGTCACCCCATTTCATAAATAAGAAAACCGAGACCCAGCATATCGAAGTATGCCGAGGGTTCTGTAACGCATCAGGGGTCCCTCCTATGAGTGGTGCACATCTGTGATGTGGGCGCCATGTGGTCCTGAGGCGGCTGCTACGCACTGCATTTCCAGGCTCTGTGCTGGTGGTTGCATGAAGAACCAGTGTCCTGGTCAGCCCTCCCAGGCCAGCCCAGTGCCTGCCCACCCGCATACTAACCTTCCTGTTCCCTGCAGGCTGGGTTTGCTGCCGAAGGAGTGGAGTCAGGGACCGTCTTCAGTGACATCAATCTGCAGGAGAAGGTACGAGAATGGGGACGTGTGGGGTGTCAAGGGACATCTGGGAAAAAGTATCATTTGAGTAAACAGACCTCAGCACTAGAAAACTAGCTGTGTTTTTGTCCTATTTTGTTGGTGATTTCGCCACCATGAACTGCTAGCTCATGTTTCTATATGCAGAAAGGCTGTGCTGTGCTTTACTAAGGTTCATGTTTGAGAGACTTCATTCAGGCCCGAGTTGATGGGCTGTATGCCATGAAGTCAGTATTAGTAAGTCATCAGTAGATTTTAGAGCAAGCGTCTTTAAATAGAAGCACATGCAAAACAAAGTTATTTATTGATTAGTTGATGAAAATGTTATCAGAGGCTTAGAGGATTCTAACCCTGCGTCTGTCCTGGGAGCACTAGTTTCTTATTCCCTCGGTGTTTGTGGTGGCTGACAGAGCCTGACAACCACAGAGAACAAGAAATGATCTGTGTCACTGAGCATAATTGCTTGCCCGCAGATAGATAAGACTTGCGCTCAGGCCGTGAAGAAAAAGACACACTTCACTGACTTTGCACAGTACCAAATACCCACCGTGGCTGGCATTCCCTGAGCGCCCCTGTGTGCCAGGCCCCGTGCCTGTACTGTTTCCTTGGATTCTTCCAGCTTCCAGTGTGTTGCTGACTTGGCCACAGCGGTGTAGCTGAGTGAGCTCTCCAGGCTGTGTTAGTCAGCTCTCCATTACTACAGCAGGATACCCAAGAGAAGCTCATTTTACACAGAGAAGAAGTCCATGCCTGGGCACCTGGGCAGCCATATTGGTCTGGCCTCTGCTGTGGGTGGTGGATGGCAGTAGTTGGAAGAGAGGCAGAGGAAGGGAGCACCCAGTTGCTTCCTGTTGCTAAGACAGGAAACAGAGAGAGAACCTGCCCCAACTTGGGCCTTGGAGGCAACCCTCTGTGAAAACCACCTTCCGGGGTCATACCCCAGCAACCCCAGGGTTTCCCTATAGAACCACCTAACCACCATCATTGGATGCAGTTTCTACCCTCCTAGCACCATTAACTTAAAACTTTGAGGTGGGAAGTCCTGCATGAGTTCTGGAGCCAGGTCATGTGAAAACACAGCCAAGGTCTGACACATGTTCATGGATATCTGAGTTGGTGCCCAAACTGGGTCTTGTGCATCCCGGTTCTCCACACTGTCCATGGGGCCTCATAGGACTAATGCTGCCATGTTATTCCACAGGACTGGACCGACTATGATGAAAAGGCTCAAGAGAGTGTGGGAATCTACGAGGTCACCCATCAGTTTGTGAAGTGTTGAACCCTCTGCCTTTATCCTTACCTTAAGAACAAAGAAAAGACTTGAGCCCCACTCAAGCAGCAGAGTCCAGAGGCTGGTCCCCTGTCCCCTTATCCCCTAGCCTCCGCACCAGACCCTCATAGTCTGTTGGAGCTTCCCAGTGCCCACTCCATAGAGCTGCTTTTCATGCCACCCTGGTGCATGAAGGTAGAGTCAGGTAGCAACTCCTCCCTCCTCACGTTTGAATTGAGGCTGGAGGTCTTTGCTTCCTGGCACCTCCCTACTGTTCAGATTCCCATGTCTGTCCCAGTTTGTCAATTGTGAAGCTGCACACAGCTCCTAAGGACTCGCCAGCTGTTGGGGAGCAGCATGTCAACCCAGAGGATCTGAGGTGTCAAGACCAGCAGCGCAGAGTGGTGGATCTTGCAGAATGTGTCATGAGCCTAGCAGGCACTGTGCTGATCAGCTTGGCCCTCAAATAAACTCAGCCATCTCTTCCTGTGGGTCATTTCCTGTTCTGGAGGCAGAGACGATTGTGGAGGCCAGCAGCCCGCCCTAGCCTGCACCTGCTGCACAGAGTTCCTGCTGGATGATCATCTGGTGTGTGCTCCCTGATGGGATGAGACCCTCGGTGCCCGCCATGCTCGCTGCCAGCCCTCCTGCTGCCCAGGCCGGTCCCCTTGTGTTCTGTCCCATGTAACTCTCTGGCGCCAGTTGTGGCCACCTTGAGTCTTCCAGGTTGGCTTCTTGGGTCTGGCAGTGCCACACAGTATAGTTCATTGCCCAGCAGGGACATCATGGGACACTCATGCCTTCAACCCTGGTGATCCCATTGGAAAACCTCTAACCAGGGACTTCATTTCTCCAGTGCTCTGCTAGAGCCTGGATTTCCTTGGAAGTCAAAATTAGTATCTTTGTTTCCTGCTTTTGGGGAGTAGGAAGGCTTCTGCACTTTCCCAGTCAAAGAAATCTGCCAATTGCAGACAAAGCTGGCTGAGTCCAGGGGTGGGAAAAAGGTCCCTGCCTTGTTTCAAGCTTAGAAGCCACATTTTGTTTCCTCCAGGTCCTCTGGGGCTGTTTTAGAAGCCACATTTTGTTTCCTCCAGGTCCTCTGGGGCTGTTTTAGAAGCCACATTTTGTTTCCTCCAGGTCCTCTGGGGCTGTTTTCTCATCTGAAGTTAGTAACAGGTTAAAGATTTATGTCAGTAGATGTAGGAAAGGTACAGAAAAATTAAATACCCATTTAACAACACACCAAAGAAACTTGTAAACCAGGAATAAAAGGAACTTCTCAGCTCCTGTGGAATATTCAGAGGGCGTGGCGTGGAAGCTTAGCGGCTAAAGTCCTTGCCTTGCATGTGCCAAGATCCTGTGTGGCCATAGGTTCTAATCTTGGCAGCCCCGCATTCCATCCAGCTCTCTGCATGTGGCCTGGGAGAGCAGTTGGGGGATGGTCCAAAGCCTTGGGATCTTACACCCACCTGGGAGACCCGGAAGAGGTTCTGGGCTCCTGGCTTTAGATTAGCTCAGCTGGCTATTGTGGTCAACTGGGGAGTGAGTCATCGGACGGAAAATCTTCCTCTGTCTCTCTGCTTCTCTGTATATCTGAATTTTCAATAAAAAAATAAATAATAAATCTTATTTTAAAATTATTCACAGACAACCTAAAGCAATGCCCTATTTACTAAGTGATGAAGTGTGGAGCATTCCAGTCAAGGTCGTGTGAATGGAAGATGGCCTTGAGCACCACTTCTGTTCCTCACTCATCACTGTGCTCACCAGACAAGAAGAAACAACCCATGTACATGTTGAGATTTTACACTTGGTCTGAAAGAACAGGCACAGAGTTTAGGATCAGTATGTGGAAATGGTGTTTTTTCCACTTGAAAAAAAAAAGGACTTATTTTAAAAGAATGGCATATCTTCTGTCCACCAGCTTATTCCCCAAATGGCCAGGCAAAAGCCGAGAGAGCAGCTCCATTCAGGGCCTCCCGTAGGAGCAGCAGGGACCCAAGTGCCTGAGCTGTCATTCATTCTGCTAGACTCATGACCTTCGTGGAGAAAGCTATCAAACTTGATGGAAAGGTGTTAAAAAACGAGGTTCGTTTTCAAATGCATTTAAGCTCTTTTGGAATCTCTTTTTCTTTTTTTAAAAAAATATTTATTTATTTTTATTGCAAAGTCACATACACAGAGAGGAGGAGAGACAGAGAGGAAAATCTTCCATCCAATGATTCACCCCCCAAGTGACTGCAACACCGGTGCTGTGCCAATCTGAAGCCAGGAGCCAGGAACTTCTTCCAGGTCTCCCACGTGGGTGCAGGGTCCCAAGGCTTTGGGCTGTCCTCGACTGCTTTCCAGGCTACAGGCAGGGAGCTGGATGGGAAGCAGGACTGCCGAGATTAGAACCAGCGCCCATATAGGATCCCACCACATTCAAGGTGAGGACTTTAGCCACTAAGTCACCGTGCTGGACCTGGAATCTCACTTTGAACAGCCAGAGCTGGGCTTTTTGAAGCCAGGAGTTTCTTCCAGATCCCCCATGTGGGTTCAGGGGCCCAAGCACTTGAGCCATCTTCCCCCTCATTTCCCACACCATTAGCAAGGAGCTGGACTGAAATTAGAGCAACTGAGACATGACCAGGTGACCAATGCTGGCAACAGGTAGAGAATTAGCCTACTGTGCCATGGTGTCAGCTCTGGATTTTTTTTTTTTTAATAAAAATTGATTTCTGCAGTTTGTAAGACAAGAAGGGAAGACTTCCTCTGTCAGATTTCAAAATGTATTTAAAGATTGTTCTTTTATTTCAAAGAATCACAGAAAGAAGGAGAGACAGAAAGATCTTCCATCCACTGGTTCACTCCCCAAGTAGCTGACAGCCAGAGCTGTGCTGATCCAAAGTCAGGAGCCAGATGTTTCTTCCAGGTCTCCCATGTGGGTGCAGGGTCCAAAGGTTTTGGGCCATCCTTGACTTCTTTCCCAGGCCACAGGCAGGGAGCTGGATGGAAAATGGAGCAGTCAGTCAGGACAAGAACCAGTTCCCGGGGGCCTGGAGGCGTGGCCTAGCGGCTAAAGTCCTTGCCTTAAACGCGCCAGCATCCCATATGGGTGCCAGTTCTAATCCCGGCAGCTCAACTTCCCATCCAGCTTCCTGCTTGTGGCCTGGGAAAGCAGTTGAGGATGGCCCAAAGCCTTGGGACCCTGCACCCACGTGGGAGACCTGGAAGAAGTTCCTGGCTCCTGGCTTGGATGAAAATTCAAAATTAATGTGCTTTATCTTCTCATTCTTTTTTTTTTTTTTTTTTTCAAAAACCTTGGTAAAGCGCCCTTGTGTACAGTAGATTGTGGGTTAAAGGTAGTTCCCACTCGCTCCACTCCAGGAAAGCAGTGCAGAAGTGAAAGCTCCCAGGGCGATGCTATGTGCCAACACGGCCTGAGTCCTGAACTCCCGTTGACTCCTGTTTGGGCACACTGTGAGTGTCCTCCTCTCATATCAGCTGTGGGCAAGAAAACTTGGCGTTTGGCTCTCCCTTCCTCCAGACACTGAGAACACAAGGTAGAAATCTCAGTCTCTCTGTCTTGATTGGCTATCACCATTTGTAGTAGGTAAGCCTCTGCCTTGTGGTGCTGGCATCCCATTTGGGTGCTGGTTCAAGCCCTGACTGCTCCACTTCTGACCTAGCTCCCTGGTAATGTGTCTGGGAAAGCAACCGAGAATAGCCCAAGTGTTGGGCTCCTGCACACATGTGGGAGACCTGGCCGATATTCCTGGCTCTTGGCTTTAGCCTGGCCCAGACACCACATGTGGCATCTGGGGAATAAGCAAGCAATGAAAAATCTCTGCCTTTCAAATAAAAATACATTTTTTTAAAGATTTATTTATTTTCATTGGAAAGGCAGATTTGCAGAGAGGAGGAGAGATAGAAAGATCTTCCATCTATTGGTTTACTGCCAAAGTGGCCATAACAACTGGAGCTGAATCGATCCGAAGCCAAGACCTTCTTCCAGATCTCCCAAGTGGGTGCAAGGTCCCAGGGCTTTGGGCCATCCTCAACAGCTTTCTCAGGCCACAGGAAGGGAGCTGGCACCCATATGGGATCCTAGCGCATGCAAGGTGAGGATTTCAGCCATGCCAGGCCCATAAAAATACATTCTAAAAAGGAATAAATAAATCTCTCTCTTGTTCTACCATTCCCTTCCCTGCTCACAATATCCCTGAGCACAGGCTGCACAGGTCTGTGAGTTCCTCATTGTTTAAATAAACATCACTTTGTAAGCTGGCAAAAGAAAAAGGGGTGGGGGAGGGGGAGGCAGCATGGCCTAGCGGATAAAGTCCTCGCCTTGAATGCACCAGGATCCCATATGGGCACCGGTTCTAATCCTGATAGCCCTGCTTCCCATCCAGCTCCCTGCTTGTGGCCTGTGAAAGCTGTCGAGGACAGCCCAAAGCCTTGGGACTCTGCACCCATGTGGGAGACCTGGAGGAAGTTCCTGGCTCCTGGCTTCGGATCGGATTGGCACAGCACCGGCCGTTGTGGTCACTTGGGTGAATCATTGGGCAGAAGATCTTCCTCTCTGTTTCTCCTCCTCTCTATATATCTGACTTTGTAATAAAAATAAATCAATCTTTAAAAAAAAAAAACGCTTTACCAAGGTTTTTGAAAAAAGAAAACCTGGCTTTTGATAAAACAAAGAAAGATAGGGCAAGCTTAGGCTCCAGTCCTCATGTATCACTTCATTTCTGTTATATCTCAGGACAGAAGCCCCTGACAAATCTGTCCATTAGGGCAGGAACAGGGGTCATCTCACAGGTTGTCCCCATTCCTCAGGAGCCAAACAGCCCTGGGCTGTTAATCCATCCGCTCCAGAGATGGCTGCTTTTGTGCCTGGCCTTCTGAACGACTAGGATTCATATTGGACGGTGTTTGCTTTCTTGGTATCTTTTGTGCATCTGAACATGCATTAGGCACATCCCACAGGTCTCCCCGCCAAACTCCAGAGGAAGGTTAATGAATAAGACCATGGCAGTCTTGTCTAGGAGCACGGGATCAAATAAGGTAACGGCTGTGAACTTCAAAGTAGTTCCAAACAGCTGTGCAATGAGAAGAATGCTTCTGGAAAAGACACAGTTTGTCTTGAATCCGATCAGCCTCTTCTGAGCTGAGGTCCAAGATCTTCTATTTACAAGTGTTTGCACATGAACCTGGCTCACCTGACTCTCAGCTTTCACTGCGGAATATGCTCTGGGTTGCTGCTTAGATTAAAACCATGGTGCCAGGGGCACAGTCTGCAGGAAGGGTGGAGGCAATTACAACTTGATCAGAAATGCAGGCTGTCTGTCCAGGAACCAAGGACCTACTTGGCACCAGCCCAGGGACCCTGGTCCAGGAGTCTGACTCACACCTGCTGGCCTTCTTGGCATCAAATACTAACTAATCCCTCCAGAATTCTAAAGGACACCAACTGTTTCTTTTCAAATGCAAAGAACCAGGGAAC